CCTCCCCCCCAACAATCACAAAAAAATCACAATCACACTCCCACCTCCCCCTGATGCTCAAAGATGCCCATCTCGCTGTCTACCTCACCACCTCCTCCCTCAATTTACTCCTCTTATCTCCCTGTCCCGGCATCGGCATCTGCATCTGCATCCCGCCCGGACCCTTGTTCCTCCTCCCCAACAAGGTCGAGTTATCCAGACTCAATTCAAACGGCTGTTTCGCCTTCCGCCCTACACTCTGCTTCGCAGCGGCCGCCACGGCGGGACTATGCTGACCATAGCCCCGTTCCTGTTGTGCGGCTTGTTGACTCCTGGCTGGCGCTGCAGCTGACGCTCGTGCCTGTGCAGCCGACGACGGATGCGTGCCTAGATTGGTGCTGCGCATCTTCGCTTCCATGCCCGCAACGTCGGATGGTTGTTGAGATTTTGGTACCTTGCTGGCGATATCGTCATCATAACCATCTGTCTCTTCCTCGTCGTAATCATCTTCATCCAGCACGTTGAGGCTGCCCATTTGGCCTGGGGCGACCGCACCGCGGTAACCGTGCTTGAAGTTCTTTCGTCGTTTGGCTTCCTCTTCTTGACGGTGCACGGCGTAGCCGACGTCAAAGACTTCGCGGAGGTTGATGGCACCTGGGGAGCGGAAGTCGGCTCTTCGTGTGCCGCCGCCGGGTGTTTGGTTGGCCGAGCCATTCCTTTTGTCGGACTGCCAGGGGTGTGGCAAGTGGTGGTGCGTCAGCGGCAGCATAGGTTGGCTCGTTGACTTTTCGAATCCATGGGTGAGCGAGGAATTCTCGTATGGTGAAGCGTTTGTCAGGATCGACGGTCAGCAGGTGCGATACTAAATCTTGAGCTGGCTTGGAGATGTCATCCCACCAAGGCGAGAGGAATGTATATTGGCCTCTAGCCACCTTCTCTGTAAGGACTTGGATCGATTCGTCGTAGAACGGCGGAAAGCCGCAAAGCAGTGTGTAGAGCACGCATCCTAGTGCCCACATATCCACTGCCTTGGAGTATCGTTCATCCTTGACGATTTCGGGCGCCGTATATCCTACCGTACCACACGGCGTCATGGTTTGCGAATCCCATACAATCTTCGATAAGCCAAAGTCTGCGATCTTGATCCGCCCGATTCCACCGGCACCCACCCCGGGTATGAACTCGCCCTCATCGGCCTTATCCTCGTCTTCGGGACTTTTAGGCTTTGGGTTCCTTGTTGGAATGAATGGTGCTGGATAGAACAGCAGATTTTCAGGTTTGATATCACTGTTGTCCTAGTAAGCTGAGGTCTGTGAGAAGGGCTGGGCATGTTCTTACCGATGCACAACGCCTTTATCCTCGTGTAGGTATTCTAAAGCTTTTGCCACTTGAGTGATGACATGTCGAGAGAGATCCTCGCTGAAATAGGTCAAACGCACAATTTGGTGAAAAAGCTCGCCGCCAGGGCAAAGTTCGAGGACGATGTAGTAGTATTGTCGAGACTCGGAGAAGTCGATTAGCTTGACGATGTTAGGGTGATCTAATTGACGCATTATCTGCACTTCTTTGAGGATGTTCGCACGCTGTCAAAGGAAACACCAAGTTAGCATTCGATGTAATAGTATGGGCATGACAAGCCCTGCAGCAGTCCAAGTTCAAGACACAAGACAGTATGTATGAGTGGCATGATAAGAAGGTAATGCGCACCTCCACAACCTTGGGTTGCTTTTTCAAATCCGGATGTAGGTGAGCATCCTATGTTTATTAGACGTGATTGAAGCATTTTTTTAGGCAGGAAAGGAAAGAACGACAACTAGACAAAAGGAGAGGCCTGGTCGCCTAGGCAGTGCATACCTGATTCGCGTTCATCTCGAATTTGCGGACAACTTTGATGGCGACTTCGCCTGGCTGTTGGGTATCTTTGGCACGATAGACATTGCTGAATGCACCGTCTCCCATCTTCTCCAGTAGAACGTATCGTTCTAGGCCAGGATATTTTGGTAACTTGCCCTTTTGTTCTCGCTCTTCGTTGATGATTTGTTGCAGCTCTGCTTCTCGGCCCTGGTTCTGCATCTGTTGTCCTTGACCAGCAGCATTTGCGGCTGCATGTCCTGCTTGGGCTGCAACATTCTGTTGGTTCACAGCAGCGACAGAGTACTCGCCCGCTACTTGTTGTGGCTGTTGGTAACCTTGATTCTGGCGCGCGAAATTGGGATCGCTGTGTGCTTGGCCATGATTTCGCTGTTGCTGATGGGCGTGGACTGGAGAGATATTGGTGGTAGGCTGATCTCGTGGCGGCTCGGCTACTCTGGCTTGTTTGCCGTGACGGATGAAGTTTTTGAGGTTTTGTATCGTGCTCATCCTTGCGATGGTGCAGCGCTATGTCGGGGGCTCTGTGTGCTCAGTGAAGGTTCAGAGAGAGAGGTAGCGGATGTTGCAATCAGGCAAAGGGTGATGTCATCCGGGAATGAAAGAGACAATGGGAGTCAGCTGGCGGCGGGCAGGAGCCAGAGATGGCGAAGAGGACTTGCGGAGGATGACTTTGGTGGTCGTAGAATGAACAAGTGTGAGGGTGTTGGGCACAAAGATGGTTAATGGTAAGGTGCGTGTACAGGGAGTATGGTAGGCTGCGAATTTGGCCAGGGCACGGGCATGCAATAGAATGGCATAGGCATTAAGTTAGTTGTATGCTGACTACCACGTACCAGTCTGGGTGGTAGAATTCCTGGAGGTGCAGATTGCTGATGACGCATGCAGTGCTGCCAGATTCCAAGTGGGCCGCCCCCACCAACCCCCAGGAGACGTCACTGCAGGCACTCAATCTAACCAACTAACCATTATTAACTACTATCTGCATGCTAATCAGCCCAACGGGAACTACTACGTAGTAAGTAGTTGCTAGGTAAAGTGTTGGCTAAGTCTTAACGCAGCATGTTTCGCTAAAGGATTTACTGTAGGACAACCATCATCCTCCATCCACTCCTGCTTCCCAGTTCGTTTGTTGCAGTCAAGCGAAGCATAGTATCTCCCCTACTTCTAGCAACTATCACCCTTCCATTATCTCTCCCATTGTATTGAAAATTTCTACTATTTTTTGGTAAAAGTCTAATCATTCCTGATGTGGACGCCGGCCACATTCCGGGACTAAGGGTGGAAGTATGCAGAGTGACGTTGGTGAAACGGGTGATCAAGATGGATGTGGCTGAGATCTGCGGGAGGAGTAATACAAACACCTCATTGTATGGTGACTTGAAACGCTTCTCTGGCATGGACACCACCAAACCTAGCTGGAAGAGCTTCACACATCGAGCGATTCACCATGACCTATGTGCCATTGACCCAAGGTTTGCCAGCCAAAGATGTGCAATCAGTAAGATGCTTGTGGCTGATTCGAAAAGCATTTTTACTCGCTTACTACGTATTTCGAAATGAACTTAATCAAGCCGACAAGTTTGATGAGCACCACCTGCCGGCAAATTCCAGTTTCACTCGCATTTTCTTGACCATTGACCTTGATTCTGTACGGAACAGTTTCAATCCTCCAATTTCCGCAGAACCGAGCATTTCCTGGTGACCCTTAACCGAATTCAAAATTATGCCAGGAAATATCTCGATTTCGTCCTTGGCAGATCTTGCGGCGCAGGAGGGCAGGCATAAATATTGTTAGGCTGGCGCTTGAATCAGCTTGTTACGATACAGCGCCACACAACTTTCATTGGCTACCATGTTTGATCTCAGTACTTGCTGTACAGCAATCTTGACTGGGTGAAGATACTGGACTTAGAGATTTTGCTTATAAGAGCATGAGACAGGATGGAGAAATCATTAGTGATTACTTTCTGTTTAATTTTGGCTTGATGAAAGCAATATATAATCGCATATGTATTCTTTTACGGGGTTTGCAAAGAGATTGTTTCGATACAATCATACTAGTGCCAGCCTAACAATATCTACGGGACCCCCAGTACGGAGTAATTGAGTAGTTTCTGCCCTCACGCCATGATCAAGAAAGCATGGACTCGAGTGCTGAAAGAAGCAGCTTAACGTGTATGACAGCCCAGCCGCTATTGTCTACTTGCACCACTTTAGTTGCCCTCCTTACTACGTAGTAAGTAGCTATTGACAGCCACAATGGGTAACGTGGCCAACTGAGCCATGTGCAACACCACTGGCAACACTTGGCATTTCCTACCAAAATTCCCAACCCACCAGTTTCAGCTTTGAAATCAATACACAGATGGGTCAAATACTTAACAGGAGAAGGCCCTCTAAAAACTATGCCTAAATTACCATTAATGTGTGCTTAGTCTCAGCCTAATTGTGATATGATCTAGTTTATATAGAATTACCCAATTAAACATCTGAAATCTGGTAAAATTATGTTATTTAGGATATCATTTTAAGAAAATGACGGTCAAGTTATGGCTGAATTATGGTCATTTGAGCCTCCTGGCCATCCTTAAAATATTAAAACGTTTGCTAAATACTAAGGACTAATATCACGTCATTCTTAGAGCCCTTCTCCCAGTAAGTAGCCAGAGTCAAGTTATATTTGCTTATGTAAGGTCTATTCATGCTATCTTAACCAGTTTTATCAAAAGAGCACCAGCAATATTTTAGGCGTAGAAATACGTAGTGTGCTTTAGGGACCGCAAAACACCCAGTAATTTCTGTTGCGAATGGGGGGTGTGTTGCACATGTTAGTTGGCCACGTTACCACAAGGACTACGGAGTAGGCGCAGAACAATATACCTTGATCCAACCGTAGTACTTACCCATACCTAGGCTAAGTTATAGATATACTGTACCGTGGCATGCCTTGCCTGGACCCCCGCCCTTGCTCGTCCATAGAGGCTCCGCAGACGACGACGACGACGATAACGTCGATGACTAACGAGGGTGAAGCCCGCGTGCCGTGTCTCGAGTTCGAGAACTATGCAGCATGACGTACTACCAGGTTGTTGTTCATAGTCGCTTGTTTCAGGCCGGTTGGGTGATGCTTAATGACAGTGTCATCGAGGAGTCTAGTCGGATAGTCGAGGAGATCTTGCACCTCCAACAGCGTGCAGTCCGGGGTGATGGGACGAAAAAGTCTTTTTTGAGGGAAAGGAAGAAGAGAGCTGAATCAAAGCGGAACATTAGATCCGGTTAATGTAGACCAAACGCGCCAGTTATCTTCTTTTGCTTGTCCTGGTCTTGTGCTTCTTCATCTCCTTCGTGGTAGCTTTCCCCTTCTTTCTCCTCCTCTCTACCCTCTCCCGCCTAACCGCCTCCTCACTGCCCTTCCCCTTCCTCCAAACCTTCTTCCCTTCCTCCTCCAACCTCTCCCTCTTATCGTCCAACCTCTTCTTCTCCTTGCCAGACAACTTTCTCTTTCCCAGCACCTTCTTCTTCTGCCCCTCTGACCCTACCCCACCATCTCCTCTCGCCTCCTTCTCCCTGGTCTTAGCATTCCTCTTCTCCCTTTCGCTCTCAAACCAAGTCCTTCTAGGCCGTGACAAAATCTCGTCCCGATGCTCCACAAGATTAGCAGCCCTAACGACCTGTTTCCCAACCTGCTCAAGTTGTCTCTCCTCCTTCTCCTCCTGCAGAACCTCCTCCACCTCATCCTGTAACATCTCCACTTCCCTGGCCCAACGATCTGCCTCCTCAGCCCCTACCACTCGCGAAACAATCTTCGCTCCCTGAGCCCTTGCAGACTTAACAGCAGCTTTGACGACCTTTCGATCCGGCTCCGCCGCCAACGTGCAAGCACGCCCAGACTTCCCCGCCCGAGCCGTCCGACCCACGCGGTGAAGATAGATCTCGTGATTTTGCGGTGCTTCGTAGTTTATCACTGTTTCCACACCTTTGATATCCAACCCGCGACTTGCGAGATCAGTGGCGAGGAGAAACTGCGTCTTCCCCGCCCGAAACGTCTCGACGGCATTAATCCGCTGCTCCTGGGTCATGGAGCCGTGAAGTTCTCCAGCCTTTAGGCCAAGAAGTGAAAACACGATGCGTACGCGATGGGCTTCCTTTTTCTGGCGAAAGAAGATGATCGTCCTTGACGTGTGAACCGTCTTGCACAGATGCAGCAGATAGCCTAGCCTCTTGTCCTCGCGGCCGGGGCGGAGACGGACGAATTCTTGGCTCAAAGTGTCGACAGTGGATTTTTGCTTGTCAACCATCAGCCGGACAGGCCTGTTCAGTCCGACGCGGATGAGACTGTCCACGCTTTCGGTCATGGTGGCGCTGAAAAGCATGGTTTGGCGGGATTTAGGGATAGATGAGATGATCTCGTTGAGCTCGTCGGCGAAGCCATCTTCGAGCATTCGGTCCGCTTCATCGAGCACGAGGATCTCTAGCGTGTCGACAGTGAAGGAGGGAGAATTGCGCATATGGTCTATGAAGCGGCCTGGGGTGGCAATGACCACGTCGGGTCGCTTTTTCAGCAGGGCTTCTTGTTCGCGGAGGGAGAAGCCGCCCACCAGTTGGGCGAAGGTGATGTCGGTGAAAGATGCTAATTTGACGGCGACGGCGTAGCATTGTACAGCTAGTTCTCGGGTTGGCATGAGAATGGCGACACGTGTGGTTGGAATTTTGCGAGGACGGTAGAGGAGGCGTTCGAGGATGGGCAGGAGGAAGGCGGCTGTTTTGCCGGAGCCGGTGACGGCAGATCCGACGACGTCCTTTCCTAGTAGGGCTACAGGAATGGTTTTCCTTTGGATTGGAGTAGGGTTGGTGAATGACAGAGTTGAGAGACCTTTGAGGATTGGACGTGAAAGGGAAAAGGATTGGAAGGAGGATGACATATCTGTGGAGCCGGGATCGGACTTTGAAGCAGACTTTTCTTCTGATTCCGGAGCGAAGAAGGCAGCGCGTTTGGAGGCCTCTTCTGGGTCTTCAACCGAGGTATCTGAGTCGCCGTCCGAATGGGCCATATCATCCGGGTGTGCAGTTGGAGACGCGATCGAATCATCGTCAGCGTCTGATTCAGCATCGCTTTCTCCATCCTGTTGACGTGGGTCGTCGTCGCTGTTCTCTTCCCTAGCTTCCTCGTCTTCCTGATCCATAGCCCCTGCTCCGAAGCCATCCGTAGCCAACAGCTCATCATCCGCAAAATCTAAGAAATCTTCCTCTTCCTCTTCCTGCCCCTCCCTACCCTCTTCTTGATCTTGCTCGCCATCGACTTCCACAACACCATTTTGAGAAGACTCGACATGCGCATCCCCATTTACAGCACCCTCCCTACTCTTCATTCTCCTCGCCAGTCTCCTCTCAATGATCTTATCCAGATCTACTCCCTGCTTCTTTCCGGATTCCTTGCCATCGCCCCCAGTTTTCCTCTTCAGAGCAGCATTCGTATCATCACCCCACGCATCGAAGCCCTCCACTAACCCTCCATCCTCCAAACCCGGGATCCTAAATTCAAACCCCGGATCCAAAGCCCCATCATCATCTTCTTCTTCTTCTTCTTCGCCCAGCTCATCCTCTTCCTCGTCACTTGAGCCCTCCCTGCCCCCTTGTCGTAAGTTTCTGAGCTTCGCGCCAGCCCGCTCATCTCGCAATCCCCTGTGCTTCTTGTTCCATCTACCGCTTTCCCCCACCTCTTCTCCAATTCCCGTCTCCCTCTTCCTTTTCCCAATCCTCACATTCCCTCTGCGCTGCTCGTCTTCTGCGCTCGATCCCCATTCTTCGACAGAACCGGTCGCACCATTTCTTGTAGCTCTTCCTCTCTCCTCTTCCGCTTCTTCACGATCGGAAATGGTAAAGACGAAATCGTTGTCTGCTGCTGGTGGTGACAATGCTCCAGAGTGGGGTGCCATTGAAAAAGAATTGATCTAAAAGGTTAGAACAGTGGTGCGAGCGGGTTGGCTAAAGCGGATCGGCATATGTATGTCCTGTTTTCACATCCTTTGTCTTCGATCTCGATACAGAGACAGAGTGGGTTGGTATTCAACTCTCTGACTGTTGCGCGGTGGGGTCTTGATTCATAGTGATGGATCCAAAAAATAATTTAGAGTTCGAGGCTTAACGTTAATTTGGCTTCGAGGGTAGAATTCTGGCTTGGCATGAAATGGGAGGTGCGCCCTCCTTGCTCGTGAAAGCTATGTACGGAGTAATCAGATATCGTAGAAGAAGAAAATAGTCGATAATAGGTCACTCCCCCGACCGATACATACAAGTGTCTGTGGATCGTGCCTATACAGTATATGGTGGTTATGTATACAACACAAATTATCGTATAGTTACGAGTGAAGAATACACCATTTTCATGCCAGAACTCCTCGCTCCGGCCGCCTAATTCTGACAATGAATCGACAAATGCCCAGTTCCAGACCACAGATGTAGGGTGACGCCTGTTCGTTATTCGTGCAGCTTACAAAGACCAATACTCCTCACCAAGATGATGGGAAGATGGTGTCCCTGCAAGTAGAAAATACACAGCCGAGTCAACAAGCCCAAATACGATGGATCAGGGACAATCATTTGTGCATCACATCACACTGACACTGTTGGCTCTGGCCGCTGTCTGGAATGCAGAAAGAGATTCCGACGTGGTGGCAACACCTCCTCTCAGAAGCGATCCGCCCCATCCAGCAAGCGAGTACCCTGGCGGGCCTTGCTGCTGCTCGCTTTGTCTTCTCAGTCCCTGAAAAGCAGGCAGCACCCTTGGCTGCGTCTCGCTATACTCTGGAATTTGCATGGGTGGAGCTAAGCTTCTTGAAGAGAATCTCCCTTCTGCTAGCTCTTCGTCGACCTCTCGTGTGGCGATAGCTTCGGCTTCTTCTTCGCTGATAGTCACGGTGGCGTCTGGATTGCCCTCTGCAGAGATTTGAATAGGAAGTCTGAGCTGAATGGAGGGCGTGGAGACTGTGGCGCCGGGAGTGTGGTATGATACGTTGAGGTCTAGGACGTATGTGCGGCTGACGCTGCAGGAATGGAAAGTTGGAGTGAATGATCTATTCCTGGGAAGGGACATAGGGACCAAGACTTTGGCGGTATAGAAGGGACTGCCTGGTCGGTATGCTGATGATGGGTCGGGAGTATTCTCCGTGCTGGCCATAGATAGGTCCGAAAAGTTTGACTGACGTCTGGACAAGCTTGCGGTGGACGATCCCATACCATCGTGCTTCCGCCACTCCACAGATGAGATGCAGCGGGAAGAAAGCTCGACTGACTGTACAAAGAATCCTCGCTGGGTATCCCATGCGTTGACGCTAGATCTAGAGGGCAAGTGGCGGAAAGGTACTGAGCCGAAGAAGGTCTGCGCTCGGAGCTTGCTGACAATAGATCCTAATGGAGGTGGCTGTACCTTATCATCGATAGGATCGAAACGTAGATTGACAGTGGTCATTGTGGAGATGGGACAGCCTGATTGATTCTTCAGGGCTGGCAGACGGAATCCACTCGGTTGCGGAGCTTCTGCCGTTATGCGACCCAGCTTGCCCTTAAAAAGACCTTTCCTGACGTCCTTCTCTTTTCGTAGCTCAAAATCTTTGTTGTCTTCGCTGATATTCAAAGGCGGGTCCTCATCTACTGCTGGCACAATTCGAACCTTGATGGCCTTGTCTGTCACGTCAGAAGACCTAGTCCCTGTTGCGCGAGCCTTGACCATCCTCGCTCTGATCATGTACTGGATCTTGGACATCTCTGGTGCCATATCATCCTGGAGAGTCTGGCCATCACCTGCAAGCATTGGGTCACCAAAGCTTGGCGGGACACGGGTGTGGGCTTCGTGAACCTGTGGACTATCGACACGATGGGTACACTGTTGGTCTAGTAGACGATCTGGCACCACAAATTCGAATGGGAAGGTATATAACACTCCGGCTCTTGCGACTCTGTTCTCTGGCAATAACGAGGGATCGATTGGCTGGAGTAGCTTCAGAAACCTGTGTCTGCCAATGGTTCTTCCCGACGTAGGTGCCGTTGTGGCGACCTTCTCGATGTCTAAGCACAGATTTAGTCAGCCATTCGTATTTTCTCAGGTAAGGAGTGACACAGATCTCACGTAACCTCCTGTGGGATCTCTGGTTACTTACATGTCTCTGTCACACCTTCGAAGGATATCTCCAATTCATGGAAACTGCTGTCTTTTCCACATTTTATCAGAATTTGACCGGAGATCTTGTCAAGGTTGGTGTAGGAGCTGACGAAGCTATGTTCATCCTCATCGTCGAGGATGATATCGACATCACTCGGCTTTCGAAAAGAAAAGGACTGCAGCGCTGCTGACCGTCGCTTGCCCGGCAGCATACCTCTCGACATTAGAGATTAGTGTTCAATTGAAAAGCAAGTGGGGCAACACGGGGATGTGTGGCAATCTTTGAATGGGGGATTGGAGGGTTGTGGCCGCCTGAATCGCAATCGGGGTAGATGGTGGGGTAAGTGTTCAGGAGAGATGACTGTTCTTTTAATGAGGATGTGGTTCCCCTGGTTAACCTCAAGCTATCGGATCAATTGGGCAGTGAGGATACGACTTGATGAACAGTATCACAAGAGCAAACCCAGATATAGATACATTGATCAGAATTTGCTCTGCATGCCTGTCCAAGAGAGAAAACGTTGGACATATTGAGTCATCGCCTCCAAGGGCGCGCCCTTCATGTGGGGAGTCTGAAGCCAATTGGCGGGAGGATCAGCTGTGAACAACCCTGCAGCTTTAGTGCGGCTTAACCCCCAAATTCCATCCATGCAAGCCGCACAGAGCGCGGAAAGTAGTACTTAGTAGATGGAAATATTCTCAGCCATCACATGGCACGAAGGCTTACCAATCTCCAATCCCCGGAGAAATTTTCAGATGCAACTCTGGTGTTTAAACAGCAGCTATTCGTTAAGTATACCTCAGGCCCAGCGTACGGGGGTATCCAAGGTGTCACTGTCAAAGTATATTACTTTCACCTCGCTTTTACCAGCAGCATATTGAGAAATCGATAAAGATGGCAGCAATGCAATGTGGTGGGGTGGTACCAGGTCTGCAGACATAGCACGGAACACTCGATGCTATCAATCGGGACACCTCCTAATGGAGACACAAGGGTAGGAAAGACGAGGTTGCCATGTAGACCCTTTTCAATAGAATCCAAGATACTGTCGACCTGGGGTATGTGAATTTCGTTGTAGACATTATGTTCTCATTATTATAGGTAGTTCTAGGATTTTGAGAGCGATACCAAAACCAGTCTATCCTCAGTCCACTTTGGTTGCGCTACACTACGTTAGTACCTCCGGTCCAATTAAGAGACCAGTAAGAATGACTTACCTGTAAAGACGCCTGACGAATGCATACGCTGTAAGAAACCCAACCGTACCTGTCAGAAGCGCGTAGACAACGCAGGCCAGAAAGCTGTAGCTGAAAAAGAGGATGCTGGAAATGAAGCCTTGAATATGCAGTCGAGTAGCATAGTACCAGACACAATAGGCAAACACCCATAGTGCGCTGCCGGCACCCACGAAGAAGCTCTGCCACCACCAATGGTGGTTCTGAGAGAGGTTAGCAACATCCAGTGGCAACCTGGTAAATTCAAATAGCCTACCTCTGAGCAAAGCTGGATATAGGTCGCGATAATGGTCACCTCGCTCACGGTGATGATAAGAATTATGCTGACAACACTCAAGAAGCCAAACACATAGTAGTAGCCGCTTTTGTCCTGCCACACGCTCTTGAATACGAACATCAACTCAATGAAGAGGACTGCGAATGGCACCAGTCCAGCAAGAAGAACGACTTGCAGGCTCCGTGTATGCCACGATTGGGCCGGAATTTGGCGTGGTGTTGCGTTGGTTCTGGTTGGGTGTTGCCATGCTTCAGTCTTGACATATCCGTACCAGCTGCCCAGATATACCAGGGGTACCTGGATAAGAAGCCACAATGACGCCAAACCCATGAGGGTACCGAAAGGGAGTGCTGTGCTTGAGGCTTGCGCCCAGACGAACAGATTGAGAATGAAGACAAGGCTGAAGAGTAGACCAGGAAACAAAAGAGCAGTCTGAGATATGTCAGTAGTGATCACACCTTCCATATGTAGAGAGCAGCCTACCATCAGCATGTTCTTCCTCCAATTTTGACCACCGAAAGTCTTGTAGACCCTAGCAGAGAAATAGCCAGAGAAACCGCCAGCAAAGATGAACAAGCCAAAGCCAACACTGACAAATCCGCCACGAAAGCTCGGGTTGAGGACACCAAGGCAGCTTAGTAGGAGTAAGCCTGTTACCATGAAAAGTAATTGCATGCCAGACCCAATGAGTGGCGCGAATATTCCAGCATGCGGCGGAATTCGGAAAACATCGCCGTGTAGAAGCTTCCAGCCTGTAACATCGTCCAGCGCTTCATCGTCTGATGAAAGATCCTCATCCACCTCAGTTTCGGTAATTTTCTCAAGCAGGCCACCCTTTGGAGATTTCCTGTCTCCACTCCTGCGCGTTCTGGTCCTGAATTTGGCTTCCTCCAGATAGCTATCTCCACGACCTCGCAGATCACCCTGTGATGTTCGACTCAAGATGACAATCACGATGGCACCCAGAATGCCTGAAATGATCAACGAATTCAGAATAGCCAGCCAATGCGTTACAGTGCTCTCGCTCTGGTCAGTGAAATAGAGATCCCACCGATTGCTCCACTCAACTGTGGCCTCCTCTCTGAAATAGACTGAGTATGTGTATGGAATGGTGAGCGTCGCCCCATCATGGACATCCATGTCATCCTCTGGAAGATAAGACGAATCCGGATACTTGGCAGCCAGCTCGGTGTTGTTCGGAGCAATGTAGAGCTGAAATTTTTCGTGGTCGCCAGAGACCTCAGGACAGCCGGTTTCGTTCCTATGCGAGCCCCCGATGCTTTTGGTATACACCTCAAACCCCACCACAACCTTTGCGCCTCGGGTGCCTTCCTTGCCAGGCGCTTTCCGCCATCGGATAACCATGGTAAAATGATTGTTTAGGACGTATCGCATTTTCCCACTATCCAGATCAAGCTCCTTCTCTCCCAGCTTGAAACCAGCAGCGTAGTACTTCCGAGATCGATCAACGGTGACAAAGGACGTAGCCCCTGGAAGGTTATCTAATATCCACTCGGTGACATATCCATCCTCGATGAGTTGCTGCGCCCGTCTGACATCTTTTCTCGTCACACTCTGATCACAGAGATAGCGGCATTCGATATCCTGATTCATGTTGATCTCAAAGTCGGAGGTCATAATGCGGTCTCCTCTCAATACCTCGCCCAGATTAAGCGGCACACTGTGCCCAGAGCCAAAAGGTGAGCCACTCTGCTTGTTCCCAGTGGGAGGGCAAACAAAAGGCAGTTCGAAGTAGGCAAATTGGAGTTGTGTATTGTCCGAGTAGACCTTGTTGACTAGAAGGGGGATGGACTCGTCGTCTTTGTAACTTTGGATTGAGTAGCCTGCGCTCGAATCAGCCCAGATTACAGCTATATCGAGGCTTCTATATGAGATGGTTACCAGGGATATAGAAGGCGTCATAGAGTGCAGAGAATAGGGTCGTCCAGCACAGCAGTATAGTGGTTATTCGACAGTCAGGAGGCATCTTGCGAAGATTTTAAGCGAGTGTAATCGGTACGGAGTACCTGTTGAGAGCACAAAGCCTTAAGCTTGAGCTCACCACTGGATTATCAGATTGGGAAGATCAGATTGATCAGTAATAAGTTTGGAGAAGATAAGCGAGAAACAGTGGATGGGGAAGACAGCGGAGCGTTTCCACGCTGACATCTCAACAGAACCTTGGTACGCTAATTAAATCAAAGTAAATATGTGCCTGAAGTCGTTAATTGCTCGTCCTTAACCTATCTTATAATAGCGTAAACTGGGCTGGTCAACCGAGCTTGGCACTGTTCAAAGTCCTCCGGTCCAAGCTTTTATGCGAAGTCATGTCATGTCAATCATGCACCTTATATTGCTACCCTTAGATTTGAGGATTTGGGACCTATAGATATTGATATGCTCATCACCTCGGCTCCCTTGCAGTGCACTATACATCCCACGCTGATGAGAACTGCTGAGTAAAAATGCCGCCAAACGACTAATACTAATTAAATCGTACAATTGAGCTTCAAACATTGCCATGGGTAACACACCTAGAAATGCTCCTTCCAGAACCTGAACCTTACCGACTCCTTCGAACATGCTTTCGCTGCACTCTTGATTTCCCTAGCCGCGGCAGATGGACCGCAGAAGTAGACACCGATATCGGTACGCAGTGATCCCTCAAGGCCTGACAAATATGTCTGATCAAGGAGCCCGTCACGCATGGCGCCGAATAGTCGGGTGAAATCAGGGCGACCGAAGTTCGTTCGGGTCTTCAATTCAGTCAACGGGTCCACATCTGTGCCGACTGAGTTTAAGTAGATATTTGTCGCGGTATCACTGTCTAGTCGTTGAGTGAGGTAGGTGTGGATCCGCAGAAACTCTGGCCCTCCTGCCGTATCCGCAGCCGATGCCGATTGAGCCTCGAGAGAGGACAAGAGTGTTTGAAACCATTCAAAAGACGTGGTGTCCTTGCAGACCCAGATGAACTCCACCCGTCGAAGTCGCTGGGGTGGATTTGGGCCTCCTCTGAGATGCCAAATATTCTTCAAAATTGAGGCCCACGGCGTCACACCAATACCTGTGCCTATCAAGACAGCAATTTCATTGTCGAACACGTCCTCTGCCGGTGCTCCGTAGGGACCATCAATCCGAAGACTTGGCATTTTTTGACCGTTCGAGAGGGCGATTTCATACATGCCGTTGGGATCAAGACCGTCATACTCCTTAGCTTGCGATGGTCCGCACCCCAAAGCATCTCCAAGTGCACGAGTGAAGTCTCCAACTTGTCGAACATGCACTGAGATATATGGATCGAATGGGCAGGACGTGATGGTGAACGGATGCCACTGATAGCCGGATACCGTCGGGACTTGCAAGAAAAGCCACTGACCAGCCTTGTATTTCATCGAGGGTTTGCGAAACTGAATTTCCATAGCATCATAGGGATGGCGAACGACCTTGGTGATCTCAGTCTCCCTTCGAGCTCGAATCTCGCGGTAGAGCCGTTCGATCAAATAAAGTCCGCCTCCCACCATCTCCCACCTCCAACCTTGGTATCCTATGCAGTGGTCCCAGAAATCCTTACCAGCGAACGGCGAATATGCTGGCACGGAATCTCGTACAAAACATCCTACCGCATGGGTATAGAGACCCAGAAAGAACGGGATAAAGAGATGGTGCGTATACCAAAAAGTCTCAAATGATTGCTGCCGTATCTTCGCATGGGCGGTTGTATACATCAGTAACATGCACAGAAGCATGATGTGTCCTGTCACACCACCTGGCTGAGCATAATGCACCTGTACAGCGGTGACCGGCCGTAGCTGGGTTCTTTCCACGTTAAAAAAGTTGACATAGTGAGCTGAGACGTGGATGATTGTGAAGACAAGCATAGCGTATGCGACCTGCCTGTGGAACCATTGAGATTCGTCCAGTGGTAGGAACTTGACTTTGGGCCTGACCCATCGCAATATATTCCTGCACATCGGCAACAGGATGAGCAATCCGTCGACAGACAACGCAAGTCCTGCGCCTCGGGACAGCCAGACCGAGTATTGGAGTGTATTAAGTGGATCAAGTCGAGAATCCTGTGCTTGTTTAACCCTGGGATTGTTGTCAGCTGCTGTCACTGTTCACATCCATTCTGTAGCTCACCATCCATAAGCAAATAGTCCCCAGTGGAGACCCCAGAAGAGGAAGTAGAAGATGAGCTTTGGAACGGTGAAGTGCGATTTGAGACTCGTCATCCTGAAAAGAGCCCACCCGGAAGGTGTTGTAAAAGAGTGACAGACAGTAAAGAAAGCGCTTCAATTGAAGAGATGTCAACCAGCGATGACCAGCATAGATGGGACAATTACTGCTTGGCGTGGGACGACTTTGTCCACAAGGTAATGTGCTGCCCAGAAGAGGGATAACACTAGCATTTGAGAGATATGGTGCGTCGCCTGCGGTGGCGGGGAGTTGTGGGAGGGGTTTGTGGTGTCAGATTTGTTGGTCTGGCCAGCAGAGTCGCCTCAAAATCCCACCGTCTGCTCTTGCGAGGATGGCTGTTGTTGGACTTTTTAAGGCCGGTGAAACCCAAAGATAACAGTTCGAGGCCTTGGAATCCTGGAGACTTGAACACGCTCGTTTATCGGCTGAGGGTGTGATCAGCAATCCTTCCAACACTGTTACAAAGTGACAAAAGGCTTTGTAAGGCCCACGCGAGCGAGGCGTTACGCGGGTCTCAATCAGGACGCTGGCATAGACATTCAATGGAAGGCGAGTTGACCGACGATGATTAACAGCATTGTAAAGTTTGGCTCTTACAGGGGCACATAGTTGAGGCAAGGTCTGTAACGTGGTTGTCGTGCAAAGGATGTCTTGTCCCCAAACACTTCGTAGGGCAGGAGCATGGACAACCTGAATGTATCTGGCGACTGCTCAGACAAAGTGGGACAGGCTGCGACACAGGAGGTTGCGGATTATGTGATCCAACAGATGTGCGGTAAGCGAAACAATCTGCCAACGGGATTCTGACGGACAGCCAAGCGGGAATGGAATTGTCCGAATGGGGCTGATGCTGCGAGATAATTCAAGATGGTGTAGAGTTATCGTTGTTGCATTTGGGAGAATATAGAGACTGCGCCGCGAAGAAGCCGTTTCACATTACATTATTGTGTGCCAAAGCTGGTGACTTGGCACTTGCGAGAGACTTGGAAAGCAGTGACAAGCTGGACGATTGATAACTAACGAGTGGACAAGTTCATGCCCAAAATCAACAACTCTACTACTATGTAACTAAATTAAAAGTCGAGTCCAGCCGATGTCGAAGGCTCTGATATCCTTGCTCGCAACTGAACTCTCGCACATGGTTCCTGCAGGAAACGGGGTTGTGCCGTTGATTGGGTGGCTGGTGACAGACCAACTCCTCGCATAACCGCCCAAGGTTGCTCCAGTCCAACAGCGCGCCAATCGGCACTCGATAGTCCGTACTACGTATTTCTCCAAGCTTTGAATGCAGCACCTCGATGACACGTTATAAACTATAATAACTCCAAGTATGGCCACGAAGCCAAGGATACTACACGGACATGTTAGGGCTCCGAGAACAAACGTACATAGTAGTAGTAGCCCAGATCGTCAGCTTACAACAGTAGGCAAGAGGATTTGGCTTCCTTCGTTCCGGTGTAGCTACCGCTCGTACTCTATAAGGCTATCAGGATTCTTCAGCTTACCTACACAGCCGGGATGGTAATGAACCAATTAGACACCGTCACGAATTTTTCTTTTCGCTTGTATCGTCGAAGTTGTTCTGCTGGCATGCAGCGCGGGGGTTGGTGAGAATCAAGGGCGAGCCGTAACCGCCAGCTACTGCATGCTCTTAAGCAAAAATAACTCCTCCAAGGTTCTTAGTGTATCAAGCCCGAGTCAAACTCGACCACAGGGTCTCGTTATTCGCCCCTTTCAGCATCCTCCGGTCTGCCCCACAGAACGGGAGCTTATTCTACTGGGATGCCGCGGGCGGTAAATTGGTTTTGCGGCCCACTCTCAGGGCCCAGAACTGGGATACCAAGCCAATCACTCTATCACCCACCCAACGCTACCACTCCAAAGCCTTATTCGTAGAATAACAACTACCGGTTGCATCTGATCCAAATAAGACTGGTGAGCTAATGCTGGCAACAACGCTGGAACATTCAGCGTGGACCGAGGATTTGTTCCCACTTCTCGAACATCGCAAGTTTCCGACGCAAGACGCTGCTGCCGCTGACCCGTTTCGAGCGACTTCATGCCCTTTCATGCGTTTCTACTTCCTGAAACTGTGAACATTTGACAGATTGAAACATCAGCGAAGCATCGCATAATCGTATCTCTAACAATTATCGCCACAACATTACACTGTCAACACTGGAAAACTGTCGCATCTTTTACCGCCTTATCATTACGCATTGACTCACGCTACACGGAGTTGGAAGGCAAGCAACCGATAATCCTGCAAAGATATCGCCTTCAGGCACGCCCACACACATAAACAGATCCAGGCACACGATCCTTCGCATCTCTGACTCAATGCTCCGGTGACATCTCCGCGCAGGCGCATTTCGCCCAGCCCAACCCAAATCCTCACCATTCACTATCTTCACCTTCCTCCCATAACCCAGAGACACCAAAAGAAGGACTTGTGGCTGAATATCATCGAAAACCTTTTCCCTTTACCACTCCCGCGGGTCGGAAAGCCTCCTCAACCTCACCTCATCTCACCTCACCTCGAAAATTCCCATCGATTATACATCTCAACCCTAGCTCAATGGGCAAACTAATTAAGAACCACTGGGCCCGTCTCATCATCCTCACCGCCTCAGCCTACCAAATCGCGGCAGCGATGGAAGGCTTCTTCTGGCCCAAGGTCTTCTGGGACTTTGCTACCAAGAACCTCGATGGTGCCGTGAAACCCTTCCCTGTTCTTCAGGTGCTCAACCTTCTCTTTGGGATTACGGGTTTACTCTGGGAGTGGCCACTCAGTTTCATTGCCCAAACACCGATACACAGGTCCATCGAGGCGAGGCTGGCCTTCTATCCGCTGAGCGCGCTGATGGCGATCTTGCTGTATCAGGCGACAAATCCGGCGATCTATTATTTGGTGGGCGTCGGAGTGTATTTTTGGGCATATAGCGAGGGGGAGGTATGTCATCTCTTCCGTTTCCTTTTTGTTCTATGAGTATGTTGCTAACAGGCGTTTCCAACAGAGTGTAGCTGCTGTGCCATGGACGTTACCCAAGAGGCTGGGTAGCTCGCCTAGAGAAAAGGTCTGACCTTGCAGATTCCTGCACTCGGCGTTCTTGTTTTGTTCTCTCTGCATTTAGCGATATGATCATATGGACACAAGGGGACAGGATGGATGGATGGCATATGCAGTCGATCCCAGCAGGGCGTGCTCATGTACTGGTTGAGGTAGCTATCAGTATAATTGAAATAAAATTTAAATCTACACCATCATCATCATCATAACTTTTTCATGTTCTTGGATAGAAGTGTTTATTTGGGTGCAGTTTTTCTAATTCAGTCTACTATCGAGATCTGATCCTATGCCCTAGCTGATCGACAGGCGTTCTGGCAACATTCTCTGATTCCCCTCTCCCGAAGTTGCCCTTTATTCCCCCGAGCCATGAGTGGACCCGCTTACCGACCCACTCAATGCGGAATCGATCCCCCCTTGGTGATATTTGTCACTCCTACACGTTCGCCAATCTGAACAGTAAATCATTATCCATGCTTATTCATGCACAACAGAGTGCTCTGAAAATACAGAACATACCTCGCTAGCCTGGACTTCACCACCCTCCAGAATTTTTATGATAACCTCGTCGTCATTGCTGGTGCCGAATTCGTTCTCGAGCGTCGACTTGGATGCCCCGTCTAGGACTCCCTGGGCGCCATGCCTGTCGCAAGGATGAACAATTAGCAATGCTCTTCTTTCGCTTTGCAGGTTCAGTAGCGGTGACTGATAGGTAATATTGCACAAGGACCTCTCGCAGTAGCAGAAAGAGAGAAAAGGACAGAGAATCCACCCTCACGGGCTCGTTTAGGAGTATGTAGGGTCTTGAAGGGCCGCCTTCCCCAGACATCATGAGGTGCTGGTAACATACTTGTGTGTCTGAAAGACCTTGAATCCAGCCATGACCTGCGCAAGAGGTATGCTGCGATCTTTCTTCCAGTCCTTGACCGCTTCGGGGCTTTCGACGAAGACGATAAAGCTGTCGGATGCTCCGTGGAAGACCACTTTGCTCTGAGCACCGTTTCCGCGAGGCATATTGTTACCCGACGTTCGGTGTTGAAGACGGATGGATTAGAATGTGGGAGTGTTGTGTGGGTTTTGGTTGTCAGGGAGGTTGGAGTTGGGTGTGGTGTATGGTTGATATTGATGGAAGCTGAAGAAATGGGCTTTCGTGCGCTTTGTAGGATTGTCAACAGCTGAAGTTTGCGCTTTGCTAGAAAATCAAATGGACAAAGCACCAGGAGTGTAGCTGCACCGTTTCAGGTCCCTGAACCACAAGATGTGCTTACTACGTCATGGTCACCTGAGCTATGGATGTCTGCATGCCCAGAGGCGGAGTATCAACGTTAGCATTGAAGTGCCAGTATTGAAGAAAATAAGAAAAACACTTAATGTTTGTTCATATACTTTCTCTGATTTGGTTTTTTAGATTTAATTCATCATACTATCAATCCAGCAGCACCGCAATCTACAGAGCTGTGAACTGCCTCCATTAATCATTCAAGCCAGCTGAGCTTACTGCAAGATAAAATTGATAACTCGCCAGCTATTCTGATGTCTCTCACCAACCTTCCAGCAGAGCTTCAGCTTCACATAATTTCATTTCTTGAACATCCAGACTTCGTCAAATTGACTGGAACCAACCGATATTTCCTCAGCCTACCAACGAAGCAAGTTCGTAAGGATTCCGTGTACCGATACGCTCAAGACAATCCTCGCCTCTTTGAGGATGTGCGCAGCTTTTCCTGCGCCTTGTGCATGAAAACCTTCAACCTGCTAGATACCAATGACCGATGTTATCCATTTTCACCAGAATGGTCAAACAAGTTAGTGTTCGAATGGGTTTGTGACACCTGTGACGGTGTAATCATCACATGAAACGTGGCAGTGGAATACACATCCTGGTATTAGTCAGTAAAAGCAATCATAGTAACGGAAGACCTTGCTGACTGACATTCGAGCGGCAGCTCCAAGCTTGCACCAAGCACCAAGCTTCAAGCTAAGCAAAAGTGGTTGCATAGCCATCAGGACTCAGTCAGAAATGTTGAGACTTTTTGGACGAGGTCGGCAGATTTCTGTTCTTGAAAGCCAGGACGCAAGCACTAGCTCATACGTTGAATACATGGTGCGTAAGGCTCAAGCTCAAAGTCCCTCCTCAGCTAACATATCTGTGCCATTTAGCAGCAGCTCGATAAGAAGTCGGATAAGAGGGTATTACCTGCTACTCCGAGATAGAAAGCTATTGCGTTGAACCTTTGAGTTCCGGAGTCAGGAGTGCATTGCGAGGTCAGATTGAGAGTGTACCAACCTTCTCTTCGTCAGCGTCAGCTCTGCGGCAAGCCACTTTAGGCGGTTCGTCCTAAATGAAGATATTAGCATGTGTATCTTGCGCCTCGCAGCCACATATTGTGGGCATACCAATTGATCAAATCCAAGTGACTCACTCCATCCAGCGTACCTCTATACCCACGCTCATCCCATTTACTACTCGCTACACTAACCAGCCCATCATTCGGGCCTTCGATGACCTCAATCATCTCATGCGAAAAGCGAAAGATAGACCACAGTGAAGGCTTGAATTGCGCTCCATAAGAAAAGTACCTGACAGACGGATCATCCGGATTGGCAGGATTGAACGTCTCCTTCATGTATTTTGTGGTCAGCTGCGAGAAGGCTCCTGATTCCAGATTGAGCCGAGCTAGCAGCTTATAGACCCTAGGCACATTTTGTTCACCAATCTCTCGGAAGACCCAGTCCGCGAAGGAGCTGCCCCGATGCGGCGTACCCACAGTAGTCAACGACTTGATCTCCAAATCCCATGGTTTTAGGCTGCTGATTAAGTGTCTGGCATCTAGCCCTCCCATGCTGTGGGCAACGATGTTGACTGTCTTGCCTCGAGCTTTGGCTTTGATGTCTTTCATGAGCGCTACAGCGCGTTGCTCAATGGAACCAGACGACGGAACGGCCGTCGTGATGACCTCGATATTGTTGGCGTTCAGCCCCTCCTTGATGCCACGCCAGTATTGCACGCCCGGTAGAAACTTGCCAGCCAAGCGTAGCTCATCAAAACCGAGAAGGCCATGGGCGAGGACGATGGGATACTTGGGGGTTCGGTATTTGTCGCGTAATTTGGCGAAGTCATCTTCAATAAGTCTGCCTAGATCCTCCACGCGGGGGTCAGTAGCTGCGTCTACAGCGTCGGGTTTCGAGGACGAATTGCGTAGATGTGGCCATTGTCTCAGCCAGGTAGCGCAAAGGGGTCGTGGCTTGTGAGGAACAGTGGTGAGGCGTGAGTGCACAATGCCATATCTCATGCTACCGAATCGACGGCTATTGATCGAACGCTGCGATGGAAGGCATTCAGGAGAGACCTAAAAATATTTGACTGCTGTGGCGATGGCAATGATGAAGAATAAGTGCAGAACCACCAAGCTCTATTTCCTAATCAGGAAAAACATCAAGTATACTCCGTATGTAGCGCTTCACTCGCAATAGATAACCCTGGCCTAACTTACGCAGATTAAACCACTGTGCATAGCTCATATCTAGATGCCATGAATCTGAGATCGTGGCGTGATTTGCATCCATGAAATTCAACCGGCTTGATCATTCTATGTATAAAATGCAACTTTCTGCCTGTAAGAAGAACCGCCAACCACTCTCTGCGCCTTGCTCTTAGTATAGCATAGTTTTTATCTCATTGATTCGAACAAATGGAATCCTCAACAATCATGAGTTGACCGCAATCTTGTCTGGCACTTCAGGCCTCACATCCGTGATCATTCTCAACAGATCCTCCACTACCTTGGCTCCCGACTTCTTTCCAGCAGCTTCGATCTCCTTGACCTTAGCCTCTGCGTCTTTATTGGCATCTTCTTCAGCCTTCTTGTTTCCTTGCTTGTGCTATAATACCATCAGCAGGGTAGATGATTGTAACAGTCTGACCACAGCGCACCTCGGCTTCGAATTTCTTGAATTCTTCTTCCTTTTTCTTCCTATACTCTTCGATTTCCTTCTGTGCTTCGGCCTTGGCGTCCTTCACTCGTTTGGTTCGATCTTGGATAGATTAATTGGCGTTCGGCGTAGGAGGGACGACATGTAACAAACATTCTCTGGCTACCCCTTGTCAGTATGACCGCCTGCCCTACTAGACCCGAGGATGCCAACCTTTCTGCACAATCTTCTGAGCTTCCTTCTCTGCCTGTGGCTTGTCAGATGGTCTATTGACATGCAGAGCTGGAGCGGAGCGTACATCTAGCAGTGTCTGAATGCCTGCTGAATTCTGCGCAGACTAAGACAAGTCAACTATAAATCACACCTTTGAAAGGAGAATGGCACCGACCATCTTGGTTTAGTAGTGAGGGTATGCGTGAGGAGAGTCTGGTAGCTGTAACACAGGGAAGCAGACCAAAGGTGTGAGGGTTAATAGCCCCCACGTCTGGCTCCAAGCTCCAGGTCCCTACGCTAGCGTCTCCAATTCCGCAGTCACATTTTACGCGCAAAAGTCTCAGGATCATCTTTCGCCTTCGGTGGCAGCAGAGATGTCTACGGCTTCAAGAATTACTCTACTTGGAACTATCATTGGCACTGTTGGCATTGTGAGTTTTGTGCATTGGGCTCAGACTGCAGAAAAGGCTGTAATGTTCTCTTCTGCCAGAATGTCAGGCAAGGACTAACACTACACAGGCAATGCATGCTGGTGTTGTCCGGGACATGGAGCAGCAGCGTATCAAGCGAGAACGAAAAGCAGATTTCGAGATGCAACGGCAGCTTGAGGAAGAGTATAGGAAGATACAGAGTGTTTCGGAGCCGACAGAGAACAGTGCTGCTTGAATGACTAAACGCATTTTGCACATCAACACCTGCATCAGAAGAACTAAGGAATGTGCTTCGCGCCGTCCGTGCAGTTTGCAGCACCAGGGCTCTCAGGGTCGCACTCATTCGACTATGACTTCAACAGAAAGCACAACCTGCAGTAAAAGAGTGCTGTTATCCCCGAGCAAAACCAAGTTTGCATGCTGGACTTAAAAATTCCAGGAGTGACAGTGGAGAGATGAACGGATGCCATGACAATGGATACGAACCAGCCCTATGACAACAGTGGGCTGTCAAGACGGCGCTGGACGTTACATCGTTATTGTCAAGGACGCCATATGGGTGTTGGCTGCCAGAGGAAGCTTGCAATCAGAAACGAAATTGAGGTTCAAACACCCAGAAGATCATGTGTTGCAAACAGAGCTCATGATTGGTCATTATAGTAGCTGTACAGTAATCGCGGGAAGATTTACATCAAGTCAGCAGAAAATCGTACTGAAGAATGATACTATCACGAGTAGTTACGGAGTCACATGAAGGCGGCCTAAGTATATGAGATCTGTACTACGTAATGAAAGTGCTGGCGGCGTTCGTCCGTGATCGGGCCAATCGGGAGGCTGGGTGGATGAAAACTGGCTCCGGCATCGACGATGCTCTCGCTGTTCCAGCAGTGTATCTTCACATCCCCACATTCCAACCAATTTACCCCTTCTACCACAGCTCCTGATCGATTGGACATAAGGTCAAAAAGCTCTCTGCGCAGTCGAGATGTCGCAGCTCCAGGATCTCACTCACTGCATCTTTCGTTGAGGATTGCGAATCGAGCTGCTACATACCCCGCATAGCGCATAGCGCATAGCGCGCGCCTCGGAAAACAAGCACATTCCTAAGCTCCCAAACCCAGTAATGCCTTATCTAAAATGCTGCTGCGGAAGGCTCGATTGCGCATACCTCGAACACAACAAGGTGGCGCTAAGAGACCTGGAAAGAGATGTAGAGACTGCGGCGCAGCTTGGACAGGTACAATATACCAACCCCCCTAGCCGTGCATATGCGGGAAATTTCCCACACCCCTGTCACTGCGCAACATCCGCAACACCCCCAGGGTTTCTGCCCGTTCACCTATTTCATTTGTTCACCGCAAACGATGCGATGACTGTTGTTCAACCGAAACCGAAACAGGAAGGACTAACATTTGCACTGCAGGCATTACTTGATCGCCATGAATCCTATATGGCGGAGTCAGAGGAAGAGCGCAGTAAGATGGCGGCCAGCTTGGAACAATTGGAGGACGATAAGAGGGTGCTAGAGGCCAGGAATGCGATAGTGACTCAGGAGAATCAAGATCTACTCCATCAACTGGAGTGCATGAATTCCCAGATCGCAGACTCCGATGCGCAGATCGATTCGTTGATGGCGACCTTGAGCTCGGCGCAATACGAAAACAAGAGGCTAATGGTTTTGGCTGCGAGGGCTGCAGAGCTGGAGGCAGAGATGACTGCAATGGAAGTCGAACAGTCTCGCCTCCGGGAAGAGCTGGTGGCCAGCCAACAGGAGGAGAGGTCTGCGATACACCGATGGGAGCATGCTGAGACCACATTGAGGGATCTTAACGACCAGATCCAGACGATCGAAAGGGAGGCCCGCGATGAGCGTGAGAAGCATCTGGAGATATGTGGCCAGATTGAGCGGAAGCGAGTCATCGAGAAGGAATTGGGGAGTGCAGCTGGGAGACTGAGAGGTGCAGCAGCAGCAAGCACGCTCGGCAGAGACAAGGAAGGAATCAACGTTGTGTCGCATTTTGTACGCGACATTCTGCAAGATAACGCAAATCTACAGGCTGGCATTGGCGAGCTTCGGGAATTGCTACAGACATCGAATGAAGAGGTGCAGAACCTCAAAGAGCAGGTGCTACAACATCAACCAGTCTCAAAAGAGCTCGAGCTACAATCACCTTCTCTAATGGACGAGATTCAGCAGTGCCGGCCAGAAGCAGTTCCTCAAGAGCTACATGTTCATCATCACTACCATGCGAAGATCACAGCGAAGAAGGAGAGGGTACCCAGCTTTCGTCGTCCGCCAAAGAGGCGAGGACTTACGTCTTCGAGCGCAAACTCGTCAGCAGGATGTCAAACACCAGTTTCTCCAGACCGCATCAGTACGATGTCCAGGCCACATCCTGGTAGCCAAATCAACAGATGGTCTACCCAATCTACAGCTACAGATGTCTCAAATATATCCTCACTTCCCAACTCACCGTACTCACCAAATCGAAGCTCCTCAATATTCGATCGCATCGATTCCGGCTTCGAATCTTCACGACCAACCAGCCCCGAAAGCGCTTGTTACGCAACTACACGATTCCACTGCAAGCAGCAAAGACCTCAGTCTGCAGCATTTACCGACTTGACCGATGTTAGCGAAGATGAACCACAGAGCACAATCTCGGAATTGGCTGGGAAAGGAAAGTCCCCTGGGGCGAGACCAAGGGTGCAGACCGGACACGTTGATGCCAATTTCGAGCATGGCAATGCATGTATAGGCTCAGACCCGCGGGGGCCACTATCATCGCGCGAGCATCCACAACCGGAAACAGATTCTCTAATATTAGAACTGGGGCCGGGGCCAGCGCACGAAAGCCGAGACACGTACACACTTAACGATTTACTCTTTAATTCGCCAGCACTTCGTCGCTCCAACTCACAGGAAAGCCTTGTCTCAATATCAGGAATGGACATCCATCTTCCTCAAAAACGAGATCCACGACCTTGCCTCCGTCCAAGGCTTTCGTCAACGGTTGGAGCTTCAGATCCACTAAACTTTTCTGTTGCTTTTCCATCGTCGCAACCACTGGCAAGCATTGCTGAAGTGAATGCCAGCTCCTCGAACCTTAAATCAACATCCACGACTGAGTCAGCCAGCCCTCTTTCACTACTCTCTGGTCTAGCCAGTGGCAGACCACAGAAGCCAGCAGCCAAAGGCCTTGGTCGATTTGTAGGCAGCTGGGCACGAGGCAGATGGGGTGTCGTTCCTGTGGCATCAATGGGGAACATCCGAGTGGAAGCAATTTCCGGTAACTCGTTTGGAAGGGGGCCGGGTATAAATCAGAAAGGCCCAATTGTGGGGTTCAAGCCACCAGATCGTACACCAAGTGAGGTGCATGCCGAGAGGCTCGATGAAGACTTGTTGAAAGAGTCTCTTGTGGAATAGTGTGCGGCCATCATATGTCAGAGGAACCTGCATCAAGAGACTTCATAACTGATTGATAACAATGATACCCCATACCTTGATAGGTAGTAACAAGTGCTTGAATATATGTTGCTTCAAATTTGCTCAACCCTCTTTCTTGATTCTCACAATGCGTATAGGCGGATCCAGGCTGTGGAAGAGACCTTCTTGTAACTCGAATGGTGGGCAACGAAAATCGATATCGTACACACTAAGGCCCTGTTCGAGACAGTGCGCAAGGAAGATGTCAAAGGTGTCCACATTTCTAATGGTAGCCGCGATAACGATGTTAGCAGTCGGACACAACTCGGCCAAACCACTAAGCGTTGAGGCTAATGGCTCTAACGAGTCAGGATCGTAGGTGATATCAGCGCCGAGAATGGTGTCATATAGCACGTTGCCACCTTTACTTGGGAGGAGGCTCCCAAGAGGAGCCGAGGAGTCCCATTCCAGCACTCTCGCATCCAAGGGATTCTGCCGGCCGGGTTTCCTGGCCAAATGGGGATTTAGATTAACATTCCGCGTGATGGTTTCGTGCACGTGCCGGTCCCCGTCCGTGGCTAACACGTAAGCCGCAGAGAGGGGCCCAGCGCAGATGATGCTTAAAAGCCCTCTGCCAGCTCCGAGCTCCAAGACGGATTTGCCGAGTACGAGATGTTTTGCTTCGGTGGCAAGGTACGTTGCGAGGTGGAGACAAGCGGCCCAGGTTCTGAGGCCTGTATTTCCGCCAGATGCTACCAGACTTGGGCATTCCTCAATAAAGACTGCATTGGGGAGAACGGTTTCCGTAGTTGATGGTAGTATATATGTCAATACTGATTTCGCTTCGGCGGTTTCTAGTGGTGATGGGTCTTCCAATGTGGATAGGTGTGCCATCTTCTCCATAAGGGGTCCGGAGATATCCTAATTTGGATGTTAACCGGCAGCTTGCATGTGGTAAGCCTGTTTAGAAAATCAATGCGGATTTTTAGAGGTACTGGAAAAAATGAACATCCATTATTGCGGGAGAATGCGAGAGGGATTCGGCTTACATCTTCATCAGGGTCACGTATAGCACCTTCTATACGCCTCGTAAGCTGCTTCAAAACCCGCCGCTGGTAATTCGCCGGAGGCAAGTAAAATCCAAATATCCCACTTGTGGTAAACATGTAACGGTATATCTGGGATTGAACCATTGTTTCAAGCAGCACATTGTCCGGTGGAAAAGATAATTTCTCAGGCGCCACGTGTTGTAAGTACTGACGATAAAAGATATCAACTCGAGCATCCATGGCTGCATTAAATAGAAGCTTGAAGATGATTCATCTGCACTGGGAGAGGGATGAACAGTTATGGATGTTGCATGAAGTTGCGAAAGAGGAGTGCCAAGATATTCTTCGCAGACTGTTTACATAATCCACTTTTGCCCTAAGAGCCCAATTCGTCAATGAGAGAAAAATCGCGCTAGTAAATTCACTTCCACAATTGAGCGCAGCCAAATCTTCTTCCACGGCCTTGACGACAACAACCAGAAGAGCATCATCAAGCCTGCAGACGGATAGCTGTTGATCGTCCTTGATTTCATCGACAGTCACCACCATGTCCGACCAGCAGGTGACGCTGCGAACTCGCAAGTTCATCCGCAATCCTCTCCTCAGTCGCAGACAGATGGTCTTGTATGTGCGCCCAGACTACAACTCATCCTCGTCATCAATTCCAGAGGAATACGCTGCTGACACGCATGACCTCACAGAGACGTTCTCCACCCCAGCCGACCCAACTGTTCCAAAGACGAACTGCGAGAAAAGCTCGCTCAACTCTACAAAGCAAACAAAGACCAAGTCAGCGTCTTCGGATTTCGAACACACTATGGTGGAGGCAAGAGCACCGGGTTCGCTCTGATCTACGACTCGCACGAGGCTATGAAGAAGTTCGAGCCACATTACAGACTGGTCAGGGTGGGAGCTGCACAAAAGATTGAGAAAGCTAGCAGACAGCAACGTACGTTCTATCCTGTTCTGGCCGATGATTATACCCTGCATATTTCGCCCGCTGGTGCTTTTTGCTTTCTTGTGCGGAGCCGTCCCCGATCTTGTATCGATGGATAACATTTTCTGCTCCACTACAGGGAAACAACGAAAGAACCGAGCGAAGGAGGTCCGTGGTACAGCGAAGACGAAGAGCGCATCCAAGGACAAGAAGAAATAAGCGGGTCCTCGTTAGTGGAGTATGTGAAAGTCTAGGAGGAGAAGGGGTGCCAAAGAAGGTGTGTGGGGTAGCTGAAGTTGAGGTCGAGATTGGGGTATTCGCAAGGCTGTTGTGTTGGCTTGCAACAGACTCGAATCTGCGTCCAGCTCGAAAATGACATGTAGTCACCTTGCTACATGTTGGTAATATTGCACGGAGCGATCCACCACAACCAGTTCTACCAATCGAACCCATCCCTCCCAAGATACGAAGTGTCACTCCAGAAAAATCCTCCGAAATTTCCACAGGCTTGCTGCATGCATTTCGTTACGTTCCACCACATCAAAGTATGGAGGTTGTCTCTTGTCGTGTCACATTCCCCCACCTCCCCTCCACTTCCATCTCCACCGGGGAAAGCTTCTTGAAGCATTATTCGTCCTCTGCCTGACATAGCACAAGACGAAACAACCCTCAACAAAGACATACGCCCTCTCCCAGCCATTCAAGCAACATTAGGACGGCCAAGGTCTCCATTGCACATACCCTTATTCCATATAGTTGGGTCAATGAACGCTTTCTTATCTTTGATTCCAACAAGTCCGGTTTCTATTTCTCAGTCTCTCGTTCGTCCTACAGTAGTTTTCATAACAACCAACAACTCAACCCACTCTACCCCCCCCCAAAACTAGAGTCTCATGGAGGCACTTTTCCTTATGTACAAAGCTGCTGAGCACGACAGGCCTCGAGACACACAGGACACAGAAGACAGAGACACACAACAAGCTCAGTTGCAACAGTAAAACCGACAATCAGTCGAAATTGTAACCGAATAGTAGTAAAACAGACAAGTCGGCTTGACAGGTGGTCCACACGCTTCCCTTGATTCCAGCCCCACTCCACCCAAACCTCCCCCAACAGAAATAAGCAATATTACACATTTTCTTTCCCAATTGTCTGGCGCGGTGTCCACCCCGAGAAATATATTTGGTTTCTTTCTTTTACCCCTGGACACGACCGAGTGGAGGAGAGAGCCGTTGTGTTGCTGTGTACACAAGCTCGGTAGGTTTGGGGCAACGAATGAACGAATGAACGAATGAACGGACAAACAGACAAACAATCAACAGCCCTCTTTGCAATTACGACGACAACGAGCAAGAACAGGCATCGTCCCTGAAAGTTTGTCCCCCCAACAATTAAGAACGAACGAACGAGCTCATACGGTCCCGAAAAATAAAACGATCTGACATTTTCTTTCCTCGGAGAACCCGACCCATCTTTGGAATTGCTCCAATTCTTCTTTCCCCTGCTCTCTTTTGGGGCGAGTCAGATGAGAACCTATTATTTTTTTTGGTTGCATGTGAAAGGTAGTCGAATAAGTGGTATTTAGTTATGCAAATGCCGTTTCTGGTTGCTTGGCGAAATGAATCCGACTGCGACAACAACGTACTTGCATGCAAAAGAATGCAAACGCTATGGAAAACGACGACGAACGACGACGAGCGACGATGCTGCCGAAATGTGAGGCTGATGAAGAATATGCCGGAAGATCTGGCAGGAATCTTGCTTGATCTGCCAAAAACGCTGGAAAGGTGAAAACCGAAATACCGAAGAGGCATAGGGGGAAACTTGCTGTTCTTCCATGTCGTTGTTGTACATATCACCCAGGTCGTCAAGACGTCAGTATCTCCCGGAACCACTCAATGAGGCAATGGACGTCCGGTGTGTGAGCTCGGCTTGGTAATCTGCCGAACCATGCTGTGAGCTTCTGTAGAAGTCTGACGTTGGTATGGGTAATGGCCTCAATCTCGTATATTCTTGACCATTGGAGAGCGTGCCTGAAGAATTGCTGCCACGGATTGATCGTCTTCCTACCACAAGGTCGCCACTGTAGCCGTAAGCTTCAGCCATGCAGTGCTCTGGAGAGGGCGTGCTCTCGCGAGAAAGCGTTTTTGTTGTCCGTTGTTCCACTGCCGACTCATCGAGTTTCCGGACGAGTTGTGATGGACCAGGATCTGGTAGTGTGGAAGCTGCTCTGATAGACGCGCTGGGAGACGTTTGAGATATCGGAACGTATGCAAAAGATGCATCTTCGGTGGCTGCAGATGATTCACCAGACCCTACATTACTGTCCACTGTCGATCCGTAGCTGACTGACATGATACGGTCTGAAGATTGACTGCTAGCCGACATGTTGTCAGCTCCAACCCATGGAAGTGAATTTCGGTATCCGATGTTGCTTATTGCTAGCCCGTCCATTGAATTTGACCCTGCCATTATGAGTGCTTGCTGCTGAGAACGACCCGTGGCAGGATTCGGTAGTGTCCGATCTGCACTCGCTGCAATCGCACTGCTGCCGGACAAAGAAGTGGACACATCATGCGAGCTGCAGGTGAAGGGAATGCAGTTGCTTGAAAAGCTTCCGCTTGTGAGCGACACAGCACTTGATGGATTTTGGTCAGGATACAATCCATTCTGACCTCTGCCTGAGCTCGAGAAGACATCCCAAGTTCTAGGACTTGCTGGTGGCCCAAAAGCACTATTCGTGCTTAGCACGGATTCGTTGTTATTTGGAAGCATGTATGCAGGCGCTTGGCCGAGATACATTTCGTCGTCGTAGTTGGTAGAATATGTTGGATAGCTTGCTCGGGTGACACCTGAGCCGTACAGTCCATTGTAGCAATCGTACGATGTAGGCAAATTGGCATAAGGACTCGTTACGGCATTGGTCGTTTGGACCTGTAACGGTTGACTGCGCGTTGCCACGGACTGATTTGATGGATAAGGATTGTACCGTCCACCAGTTTGCAGACCCCTTGCTGTGAAATAGGTTTGGCACTCGCTTGAGTTTACCTATAGCAAAGTCGTCAGCAAGGATAGAAGATAACTTTAAGGGCATCATTTCGCTGACTCTAAGGAATGTGCATGTATTTGGTGCTGATCCAGCACTCCGGCAATTTGAGCACCCCTGACCATTACCTGGATCTCCACTGCATTTGATTTTGCGTTTGCGACATCGCTGGCACTGTCCCGAAGTAGGTAAGCCACTGTCACCACAGGAGAAGTCATTCCTAACGACACAACTTACAGCCACAGCAATCCTTCGACGCGTTTGACCACTATTAGACTTACTGTCGACCTCAGAAGAAGGGCTGAGTCGACGATGAAGACCTTGGTTGCCTTCCGACTGGTTATCTAGCTGACCAGATGGTGGCAGCGGTAGCTGAAGCCCCTGCTGTCCTGAGCGACGACAGAACTCGACGGCGATATCCGGGGAGTAGAAGGATCGTGTAGAGATCTTGCAAGGGTAAGGAAGACTATTGGCAATGAAGCAGGATGACCAGAGCTTACCATTTGTGCAACCCAAAAGAACCTCGAAAGAGGCAAACTGTCTTCACCCACCCGAAGATTCCTTCAATATCGTAGATCGTCGATGTCCTGAACCTTAAAAGTTGAATAGTAGTAGCTAATCTTGGTGTCTGAATCAAAGAGGAATCGGAAAATAGATGATGGACAAATCGGACTGTACGAGCATAGCAGGGAGAAGTAATAGAGTCTGAAAAGGATGATATTGCCGCTGTCATATGGAGACAGGTCTAATGCAGAGACGTGTGCAGCTGATTGCTCTGGCTAACGTGAAGCATTGCAGCATCGAAGCTGATGATTTGACATGTCATCTTGGTCGACATCATAGAACGATCGCAACAAGATTGGTCTAGCGTTCTTGATCTTCTGTGGTCCAGGGAAATTGATTCTGGTGACACAGACTAGGTCTGCCGTGGCCCGCCACAGTGCCAGGGTGAAGTATTTAGGCATGACACACGTATGTACGCCGTTATGCCTTCTTTCAACGGCTAAAACTGCTGGGTAGAGATTAGATGGAGCATTAGGAACATTGAATTTACACAAGAAAGGTGTGCAAACAAGGTCCAGGCTGTAACAATCTAGGGGCCAGTACGAGCAAGGCTGATGCGATGATGTGAGATGTGTCCCAAGCCTCGGTGTTGGCCAGGCCCAGGGGTAAAGCAAGACAAATGTCCCACCTTGAACAAATTGCCAAACGAGGCTCGCATCATTGTGAACAAAGGAATGTTGACGGAATATTGTGCTTCAAGCACTGCATACACAACCATCTCATAGCACTAGCATCTGATAACATTCCCAAACTTGATACTTGCATCTTGTGCCAATGAGAATATTTGTTTGCTGGCTCAAAGCTGCGAAGCTTAGGAATCCTGATTGGATTAGAACACACAAAGTCCAAATAAATCTCTCCAAACAGGGATAAGCAAACAGTTTAAAGCAAAGGGTGGGTGATTTGAGGCCGTGAGATCCATAACAAGGAGTTGGTCTGGTTGGCGACTGTGAGGCCCGCTCTGAGAGGTCATACTTAGCCTGAGAGAGCATTGATCATGCTCCACTTCGATCCTTGCAGGCAACACGGTTTACTTTCCAAACTGCTGGGATGGAGAAAGACAATACGGAAGGTGGCTGGACAGGAGCTGACATGGAAAGAAGTAGCAACTTTGAAGACCAGATGCTGGAATTTGCATCGCTCTGGTACAGTAGCATTAGACCTCTGCAAAGTACTTCCAATACAACTCATCTTTCGGGTGGAGTGATCTAGGATGGCGACAGCTCGGAGAATTAAGCGCCTTAGATCAAACGGATAGTGACCTCCGCGACGGAGGTCTTGTCGATCAAGGCGGCGTGGATGACAAGAGAGCGCTGCAGCTTGTTTCGACCCATCCAAGTTGCAGATTGTGATGAAAAATGCTCGAGACCAATTCCTGAAGGGGGGTTACTAGGTGGGTCTTTCGGCTTGTGACACAGTGACACCAGCTTCAATCAGCGTACAGAGGGTTTTGTCTGAGCGACATCACAAATTCAAATCAATGCCACATTTCGAAAACATCCTCATGTGCAGAAATCGAGGTGATATGGTACGTCAGCCTTTATCGGTGTTTTGTAGCCATTAAGCGATCAGGCAACGTGAAGGGGAGAGCCACCTACGTTGTGTCCCAAAAGGTTTGCAGGCATGCAGCGGATTTGGCCCCGTCAATTCTGAAACCAGATCGCCGGGCACGAGACCGCCAGGTCCATGAACACTTCTGACATGATATCGATCTAGATGTCCTCTAGGAATCGCTGGAACCGTCACTTACCTTGTCTTTGGATCATAGCAGGCTTCCAAGAACAATTTCAGCCCCCGGTGAGGCTCTATGGGCTTCAGGTTAGGTTATCCTTTTAACTTCCAAGATACATGCATGGAACCTGGGCCGAGGGGGAAAACAGTTTGGAAACGGGCGGAGTTTTTGCCACGTGCTGAAAGGCCAGCCACAGAATCCGTGGACGATTTCAAGGGCGGAAAGTATAAATCTTGTCAGGTGCAGCTCTCCGGCCCGCATGCAAAGTCCGTTGTGTGATCCTGGACAGCGAGTGCCAATACTAATCTTGCTTAAGGGTCTCCTGACTTGACATATTCTTCGGCACTGTCCGGTCCGTTGATTTCTGGTGGCGTTATATCAGCGATGTACATCTCCTACTTCTAGAAGCTTATCTCCGTACGCATCTGGACTGATGAAGTCAGTTTGCTTAGAGGAAGTAGACGGTGAGAAAATAAACATACCAAGGGGAGAAGCGCTTTGATTGGTGCTCGAAGAATACGCTGACTCCCTATGAATCCGATGTCCACAACGTGGCTTTGCGGTTTGCAGCAGCGCCATTTCTCTTCAGGGCCTATGGCTACCATAGAAGGAGGAGAGAGACATGTGGAAAGAATAGCAAGCCCAATCGTGATATGGGCTGGGGAAAGCATCTTAACTCTTACTACTACGTAGTAGTAAATCTCTGCGAGAATGACCCGCTTACCAAAAAGAGCTAGGTGAGTCTAGTGCCAAGCATTTACTGGATCTGGGCGGAAATTTTGGATGGAAATTGATCTGTCATTCGGTGTCAGCCATCTTGGTTATTGAACATTGAAGCTGCGATATTCTACTCAATGCCATAATAACTTGAGTGTATGTTCTGCTAACATCTCATTTGCTCATTGGGTGTATCATCAGAACTCGGAAGAGAAGGTTTACTCCACAGAATGGCTCATATCACAGTAGCTACCACCAATGCTACCGGTGGTGACTCCGGACACGTGGAAGCAGAAACTATCACTTTGGGCCTTCGAGATGCCAGGCCTGCGACTCTGGCTCTCCATGCTGATGAGACCTTGAGACTCGTGGACGACATCGCTTCTCCTATCCATGTATCAACTAATTACAAGTATCCCAATGACCCCCAGCAGTTGAAGCCGTTCTACGGGCGAGATATTGGTGTATGTCGAGAAGTGTCTTCATTCTTTCTTCCTGAGTTAACTTTGCTAGCCGACTGAGTTCGTATATTCCCGAGAGTCATCAGGCAATCCGACCCGTCTTGAGGCAGTGTTATCTTCCTTGCTGAAATCCCCATGCCTAACATATTCTTCTGGTCTCGCAGCTATACATGCAGCTTATATTTTGCTAAGCCCAAAACGTATCTCCATTGGCAACGGATACCATGGAACGCATGGCGTACTAGAAATATTTAAACGAGTATCAGGGTGCAAGGAGCTCCCGCTGGACTGTCCTGCAGAAGACCTTTCAGCTGGAGACCTGGTCTGCCTGGAGACTCCGGTGAATCCAACGGGAGATGCTTTCAATATTTCGCATTATGCAGAAAAAGCACACAGTCGTGGTGCGTACTTGATGGTCGATTCCACATTTGCTCCACCACCACTACAAGACCCCTTTGCCTGGGGAGCAGATATAGTCATGCACTCTGGAACCAAGTATATTGGTGGCCATTCGGACATGCTTTGCGGAGTGCTGGCTACCAAGAACAAAAACTGGTTCACCCAGCTGGCGGAGGATCGCGTCTTTCTCGGCAGCGTCATGGGAAGCTTGGAGGGCTGGCTCGGCGTCAGATCAGCGCGCACTTTGGAACTAAGAGTGCAGCGGCAGAGTCAAAATGCGATGGACCTCGTAGAAGCTTTGGATGGCGCACTTAGCGGTTGCTCAGTAGGCACCGGCCTTTCACAAAGTGACGTTGACGTTATCAAAGAGGTGGTCGCCGAGGTCAAGCATGCTTCACTGCAGCATGGTGATAAAGCCTGGCTTACGAAGCAGATGCCTGTTGGGTATGGTCCGGTATTTGCTATGGTAATGAAAAATGAGGACTTCGCAAAATGTCTGCCGAGTAAGTTGCACTTCTTCGCCCACGCGACCAGCCTTGGCGGCGTTGAAAGTTTGGTGGAATGGAGAACCATGAGCGATGCTACTGTCGAAAGAACCCTTCTCAGATTCAGCATTGGAATTGAGGATTCTCGGGATTTGCTTGAGGATTTGATTTCCGGATTTAGGGCAGTACTTGAGCAGGACGACCAATTACAATCAATTACTACCAAGCTCGAAGACACATGCAATACAGCTGCAGATCCTGCGGAGTCGGTATAACAACCGAGCGAGCAACAATCAAAGCTTGCCTGAACAAAACAGAGCACTCCAGCTATTTCGTCCAAGCCTACCAACTCCTGTCCAGCTTCCAGATCCCTACGTGTCTATTCATTGAGCCCTCGTCAACTTGCAAGCCTTTCTTTCTTTGTCGATTGCCTCTGCATCGAAGCGGACCTTTCTCCGAGGGGCACTACAGGCATCCCAGCCCGTAATGTCTTTGATGCTGACTCAGCCTTTCCGGAGGAATATCCAGAGTCGTCCCTCTTATGGCCTGAACCGTACTCCGAATCAATTTCATCTTGCTCGTCCCCAGAAACCTCTTCCCAGTCAGCCATATCATCGTCGTTGTCGTTATCGTTATTTTCATCATCAACATGATCATCATCTTCATGTTCTTCTTCAACTTCAATCCCACCAACCCCATCGCACCCTTTGGCCCAAGTGTCCTTCCTGCTTTGCATTGCAATCGTCAGGTAACTGCCCTTGCTACTTGACTCCGCACATGCCCCTCCATCCAAAATCGCTTGTGCATATTGCATGCGCAGCTCATTCATATCAACAATCACGGGATCAGCCTTCTGCTGCTGCATGCTCGTATCATATCGATACGCCAACGGTTCTCGTGCACCAGGCCACTTCCGCGGCTCATGCCCTGCCATCACATTCACGAACTCTTTTCCCTGACCCCAACTTCCAGGCAATAAGCCCGTCTCGCCCACCAGTGTGATGGGGTTAATCCCCATGTACCCTGGTTCACGGTATCTGTTGATATCCGTCGGTCGGACGCTAGGGATGGGGTGAGCGAGCATCTTTTCGGGGTGGGAATCGATCTGCATCTGAGGTCGGGGGATTGGATCAGCGTGCATGCTGAGTTGTGTTCGCTCTGTGTCGTCATTCCAATGTTGATTCGGTTGATGCTTTGATGGATGTACGATACCCAAAGGTGGTGTCTGTGGTGATGGAAATTCGACGTATTCGGCAAGGATCTCATCGTGAACTACTGTCGAAAGGGTTTCGAGATCCATTGGTGCCCCTCTGATGTTTGATCCGCTCCTGCTAAGAAAGTGTCGAAATATGCTCATAATGGATTCTGATTCAGCCTCAGTGCAAATAACGAGGATGGCTACCTGCGGAATATTTCTCCGCTGCCTCGCTCTGTTGAAAGGGGTGTGCAGATGCTGATATCCCTGCCGTCACAGCCTCGCGCAAGAAAGACAGAGGAACGATAAGATGCAGTGTTGAAGATGAAGTTGAAGAAAGCGAAACCAATAACGCAGGATAAAGACGAAGACGAAGACCGAGATGGAGAAGGCAGATCAAATCCAGTGCAATTTCCCATATATAAATAAAGTAGCCCCAGTCTGCCGGTCAGTCGATCAGTCAGTGAGTCAGCCAGGCAAACAGTTTTCTTGCGATGAACACTTTCAAGAATAGTGAACATGTCTCCAAGATTCCCGCTCTGACGATCTTTCCAGGGCAAGATGAATTCAGAGAAGACTTAAAGCGTCCCGTAAGTTTCGATAATCGAAGAGCGACAAGGACTTATCGAGTGTTCGTGCGGCGGCAGCCTGGCACAAGGAAATACACCAGCATCGCACACCTGTCCTGAAGATATCTTCACTTTAGCTTAGGGGTCTGAACACAAAAGAGAAGAAGACTGCTCAAACAGGGTCTTCATACCACTGACGTAGAGTGACCAGTCAGCGCTGTAGGTATGATGCGGAGGTGTTTGTCTTGTCATGTCATGTCATATCGTGACGAAGTTTCCGCATTCGGATATGAGTCGATGTGGAAGTTGATGAAGCCCGTCTGAGGTTGCGCAGCTGAGTTATAGCATGGTTAAGCTGCACGCGGAGAGTGGTGCCGTGCCAATGCTTTCGGGAGAATGTACATGGCTCCATTGTTGATTATACTGGCTTCATTACATGGTGAGAGATTGAAGTGGGAGTTTGGGCATCAAGTGGTGTGAAGGTCTGTGAAGTTAAGTGGCTGCAAGTGTAGTGCTGTGGTATTAGTATTTTCGACAAAGGAAAAAAGAAAACCTTTTGAACACACGAACCTTGAAACCTCATAGTTTTTGATTGCCTGCATGGGCAAACACCAGGAACGGAGTACCACATGCAACGGTCATTGCTGCGAGCTGCTTCAAACCACGTCTAGAAGGAAATCTCACTGCTGAATGGCATTGCACAGTCGCTATTGGTTCCCTGTTCGCTTCCTTCGGTGCAGCCAGCATCCTTGTTCTCTAGCTGCAGCTTGAAGGAGTCATTTGCTCGGATTCTGACTGCTGACGAGCACTCAAGTCCGCCAATCGACAACCAATTTTCTAAGCACTTGCCACCAGAGCCGGGGACAAGAAAGCTCATACTTTGCTTCTCTTTCGTAGGCCGCTTCGTTTGCCTTACTGTTCCGTTTGTTTATCTTCCTCAATTCGCTCATCTCCATCTTCTCGGCTTCCTTGGCCTCCTATTTCTCCTTCTTTTTCTGCTTATCAGCCTTCCTCTCCTCGGTGAAATCGCTGCTCGGGCCCCTCAATATACGCCCAGGATGTACGACGTTGAGACATATCAGCGCAGCCAGCATTGGTGATGCATCGAAGACGTATGGCACCCATTCGTGCGTTGGGAGATAGGTGTTGAAACCCTGGCTAGATTCGATGAGGCGGAAGATGATGCGCAGGGAGATTTAACCAAGGACCACATAGATAACGTGGAGAAGTTTGCGGGCTTGGCGGGGAGAACGGTATTCGGTCATTGAGATTCGCTCGCCGGCATAGAGATTGCGTCGTTCCCGCTCCTTGACCTTTGTCTGGAAGCGGATAGCCATGGAGGTAAAGATGAAAATGATGAATTGTTGTAGCCCGATGCCTCCCATGTAGCCGTGGAGGCCTTGTTTCACAATTTCTGGCGCATCTTGATCGTTCGCCATGAGAGCTCCAGCGGCTTGTACCAGGAAGGAGACTATGTCCAGAAAGATGAAGATCCAGGTGAAGAGCTTGGCTTTGATTTTATAGACTCTTCGGTTGCCGAGGAAGAATTGCACCATACGGCCCAACAACATGTAGACGTAGGCATTGATCCATAGTGGAGCGAGAAGGACCAAGAGCGACTGGGAAGTCGCTCATGCTTCGTTCTTTTGTGCCGTGACCGCAAGACTGCGGAATGTATAGCCACCGCCTTCCCAGAGGGAGCCCCATGATCAAAACCCAGGAGAAGGGCTTCTTATAGATGATTGCTTCAACGAGGTGGGCTATGCTGGTGAGGCCGAAGAAGCATGAAAAGGTAATGGCTGCACCAGATGACGGACAGTACGGCCACAGATTGTTGAGACCATCTCGGGAATAGCATGTATGTGAGGGTATTTTTGCAGCTGATGAGGCGTAGAATCTAGTAGAACTAACGGTAATAGTAGGGAGAATTGCAAAGTGATGGAGTCCAAGAATGCAGTTGCTGCAGGAGAGCGACGTGAATTATACATCAAAAGTACCAACCCATGACAATCATACAATCCAGCACGCCAACACCCCTACCGTTTATTAGGTACGCATCAACGAAGACTAAACTCAGGAGAGGACGAATTCGACATTGTGCCTGGACTGGCTTCATGGGTGATACCAAAGGGTCTCAAGCAACGTCCTTGTTTTGTTTGGCTTTTCTGGAAAGAGACCAAAATAATTAAGTCGTTGTCGAGCATGTTTATGAGAGATAGGATAGGGCCCTCACTTACAGCGTGGCCAATGAAGTCAAAGATGTACACGTCCTGTTACTCTTTTACTCTTGGACATATCGAGTACACATAATCCCTGGCTGAGAGGTTGCTCCTGGAGGAACAGAGCTACACCCTATCCGGTTAGGCTCGTACAGAGCTAAGCTAAAGTCACGTGTAGCAGGGCTTCGGCATTATCACTAACCACTAATTTCTTCCGCGCCTGAACGGCCAGTCCCGGCCATTTGTGCCACACGTGTGGAAGTTTCGGCCCCATGGAAGAGGACCAGCTGAAGTGCTGTGTGGATTTCTCACTATGCCTACCAGTGGTAGAGAGCTGCCATCACACAAAATGCACGCCAGCCGTTATCAGAACTTCCCCTTCTTGACTGTTGCTCGTACCTACCAACCTGATATGCTCAATCTCTGCTTGTGATGCGCACGCTAACTGTCATTTCCAGCCCTCAACCCATGCCTCAATCCACTCCTTTTGTTTGAAGGCGATGGTCGCGCAATCTATTCAGGTCAACCAGTCCAATCATTGCTGCCGTGTCTCCCTAGTGCTTCCTTTCTTACCCTCCAAACTACCGAGATCATGGTCAACATGCGCATTTGTGGTAACAAGGTCCGGACTGGATGCTGGACATGCAAGGCACGACATCTCAAGTGTGGCGAAGAAAAGCCTCAATGCAACAGATGCGTCACCGCTGGCAGGGTTTGTGATGGCTACTCAACTTCTAGGCCCGCCTTCAAGCCAGCCGCGAAGTGCCCCAAGAAGGGGCTTATCATGATTCACTACACGGCCAACCTACCCACGCGTAACATAGCAAAGACTAACATTCCCAAGGCTCCGAGCACGGCAATAAGTCAGGACAGCAGAGAACAACGATTTTTCGAGTACTTCAAGACACGAACCGTCCTAGATTTGGTATCTGGTTTTAATTCCGAGTTGTGGTCTCTTTATGTTCTGCAGCTAGCCCATAAAGAGCCTGCAGTACGCCATATAGTCATTGGCATAGGATGTCTGCACAAGCAGTTCGAAAGTGCCGCCACAGGTGATATCTTTGATTCCCGTTTCGCCCTAAAGCAGTACTCCACAGCAATAAAGCACGTAATCGGATCTTTCAATCCTGGCTCACAGCAATCCATAGATGTTGCCCTACTTACGTGTGCTCTTTTCGCCTTGTTCGAGAGTTTGCAAGGTCATTATCGATCTGCGCTGACTCACATCACTAGTGGGCTGAAGGTCCTTCAAGAACGACAAGCCAACAACAGTTCATCACCAAGCTCATACAAATTAGCACGGTTCCTGGAGGACCTTTTCAACCGTCTAGGGCCGCAAGTCCTGGAAGTTGCTGACATCCAGAGTATGAGGGAGACTTGCCTCCAGGACATAACAGTACCATCGACCTTCTCTTCAATTGAAGAAGCCGAGGTGATCCTCACTTCCATTTGGCACCGGATTCATTATATCATGCTTTACCTTGAAGCCTCAACCTCCGCTGGGTTCCTCCCCCTTTTAGACCCCGGAAAGCAAGAGTTACTGGGTACAATGCTTGCACGATTCTTCGGACGGTGGTCTGCGGCGTTTGATGAATATCTAGCTAACAAACTGAGAAGCAAACTGTCATGTGGGGGTTCTCCCAAAATTCAAATGGAGCCTGGCCTTTACATCCTCCGGATGTGGCGTGAACTAATCAAGGTCTGGCAAGGTCTAGACGCGTCGGCTGGCGAAACTGCATGGGATCCATTCATTGATCAGTTCAAGTTAATTGCTGACCTTGCGACATCCTTTGTCGATCAGAGTGCCAAAACAACGGCTTATTATTCAACTCCGATGACATCGACGCTGCGGGATGCCCCAAGACCTCACACTCTGCTAGGTGGATCTAAATCTACCGCAGCCCTGACCGATCTCTTCGGCCTTTCGGGGCATATTCAATCCAACAGAAGCAATGTGCCGCACGCGCCCGTGCCAGCACCAAACATCAAGCCAACATTATCATTATCTACCGGCATTATTATGCCCTTGTATGTTGTAGCTTCACGATGCCGCGATCCTGCCATTCGCCGGCAGGTAATACGCGTACTTTCGATCTGTAACCGGAGAGAAGGCATTTGGGATTCTCAATTCAGCTCCCAGGTGGCGAGACAAATCCTAGAGATTGAAGAAGCAGGGGCTCGTCAATACCTGAGAGAAGCGGGCAAACAGAATGCAAACGATGATGGGAAGCCTATCATAATTAAAAGTATGGAACAGATACCGGAGTGCGTACGCGTGAGGACCTCGTGGACTTCTTTTGGACCAGATAAGCAAGCCACTGTTCAGTACAAGAAGAGCAATGCTGGAAATAAGCAACTTGAGAGCCAAGAACATGTTTATGAGGGGCATTTTCAGTGGTGAAGGTATCAGTATGTCAAGTTTGTGCGGGTTGGATATTGGGGCAGGTTTTCTTGGACGGAATGGAAAATTCGTTAGGATCATGATGCCGGGAGGCCTGTTCAGAGGAACTTGTCTTCGTATTGTTTCATACCGATCTCGATCTTGGCCCTGGAGTATCTGCCAGAACTGCAACGAGCCGCTTACTTTCCTCTTCACGCTCAAGGAATGGTTTCAGCGAGGCATCCTCCATGGCTTCACTCGACGATGCTGTTCTTCCGATGAGACGCAAATTTGACAGGGGGAAAGAGGCTAGAGATATAGAGAGCCATCATATCGAATCAGGCCGCTTCTAGCCTCCGTCAGTGCTATCAGAGAAGACACAACAACAATTCCAGGGAAGGATGAATCTACTCTCCTCAAGCAGAAAGTGAAGACTATATATACTCCAACCCGTCCCTCAGCATGCACCGAAGTCGAAGGAAGAATTGAAACAAATGGCCCCCCCCTCCAACCCCAATCGAAAGACAAGTTTGCCCCTCCCGCGGACGTGGGGGGTTTCTGGTTGGTGAGGCTCAATCGAGCGAGTATTGCCTGAAGTAGGAAGTAAGAACTAGCTGTAGCTCGCAGCACGAATGGGAGAAGATGTTGCTGAAAGGGTGGGTAATTATATCTTGGTTTGTTTGTAGTGGTAGGAGGCAGGATTGCTTTTGCATGTTGCTGCGTCTTTAGATCGGGTATCTACTGTATACATCTCCACTACTGACTGTGGACGATAGAGTAGTACAGCCCAGCCCTTTGATTTCATCTTCTCACCACCATCGTTCCCCTTGCAAAGCATCACAAAGCTCCACTCTACTCCACTCCCCTCCCTCCCTCACACACCTCACGCCTCTCACCTCACACCTCACAACCGCCCCCTCGCCAGCACCGCCCCCCCATCCGTCGCGATCACAGTCCCATTCAAATGCGCCGCCGCGCGACTGGCCAAAAACACCACCAACCCCGCCACATCCTCCGGGTGACCGAGCCTCTGATTCGGCGACATCTGCGCCAACTTTTCCTCTCCCCCCTCCAACTCCATCAGCCCGTTCGCCATCTTAGAGGGATAGAAACCCGGCGCGATAGCATTGCAGAGGATATGTCGTGGCGCCAACTCGACGGCCAGATTCTTGGTGAGGTGGATCGCGGCCGCCTTGGAGGCCGAGTAGGCGTAGGTCGCATGCGCACCGAGGGTGCCGACGCCGATGCCGGCGACCGAGGCGGTGACGATGACGCGCGACGGGTCAGGGGTCAGCCACCGGGGCGCGCGCCGGCAGCAGCGGCTCGAGCTTCTGGATCGTGTAGAAGACGCTCTTGACGTTCAGGTCCATGACCTTGGAGAAGGCCGGCTCCGGGTGCGTTTCGAAGCGCTCGCCCCACGTCGCGCCCGCGTTGGCGAACAGGATGTCGATGTGCGGTGTCTGTTTGCCGATTTCAGCCGCGAGCCGCTCGATCTCCGACACTTTGGATAGGTCGGCCGGGACGGAGATGGCGACCGCGTGCGGCTGTTTGTTGGGCAGCGCGTTGAGCGCGAGCACCGCTTGCTCGCACCCGCTGGCTTTGCGCGACGTGATGTAGACTTGAGAGCAGCCGGCTTGGAGGAGGCTGTTTGGGGAGAGAATGAGGGAGGGTTGGTTAGTGAGTGTTGGTGTGGAGGGGGGTTCTAATGGAATGGTATGGGATGGTGTGAAGTGGTGCGGGAGGGATGGATGTTACTAACCCACTGGCAGCGTGCAGACCGAGACCGCGGCTGCCACCTGTCACCACTGCCACTTTGCCATCGAGTTTGAAGATGTTCTCGAAGTCCTGTAATTTAACGTCGGCTTCGGCTGACATGGTCTTGATGAGATTGGTGATCCGTTGCCGGAGCGGTAGAGACTGGGTATTGAAGTCCCTGGTTACACAGTGCTGTCTCACACCTTTCCAGGAAATCGTCAGTACTGTTGCCTCTCCCGCAAAGATTGGGAGACGGGATGTGAAGAATGCAACCGACCCTCAATCTATCCTGCATGAAGGAATATCTCAGTGCGTTGAGTGATCACTACTACCACTCTTCGGAGCTGCGGGGAGTAGCCGAGGTTCAGAAAGTCTACCTAGTGACATACTAAGTTAGTGCCGTACTAAGTTAGTGCCAGTACGTACTAGTCAGGCTCGGATTCCGGGTCCGGTCCGAGCATTCCGGGGAGTGTCCATTTTCTGGCTACCAAGTCACGATCTGCCGTGGATTTGATTTCAGGTGAACTCCTGCAATGCAAGTCCTCATGAGTCGATGCAAAGTGCTACCCGTGGGAAGAAGGCCTGTAGTCCAAAGAAGACGCTTCTATACATTACTTAACAAGTTCGCTGTCCTAACAGGGCTATGCTCTTCCTCGACGCCAGACTTAACATGCGCAATTATTTACCATTACCTATTTTATCCAACCGCTCACAGGGTTTGCATCCTGGGCGATATCTTCGCTTTTCCAAACTCAACCACCCGAACTATTCCATAGTCCCTTCCATTAACGACCGAGTACCCCGGCGACAATGCCAGCGGATCCGTCGAGCTCTTGTGCATTTTCATATGGTGCGTACCCGGCCTAATGCTGGCAAAGCCTCTCTCCACATCGGGCCAGCTCTTCATGATCTCGTGTTCCAGCTCGGCCAGCTCATCCTCCGGCATTATGAGTGGGGGATCGTTCCTCCGCTGGGGATCCCTCTTGACCCATTTCACGTCTCTCATGCCACCAAGCTCGCCCCTCTCTCCTGCTGATTCCGTTCCATGCATAGTCCAGCCCTCTAGGCCCTCGGAGTCATAGAGCCCCTTGTCATTGTAGCCGTAGCCCTTGAGGCCCATGCGGATGCGCACGGAGGCGTGGACATATTCGTGAGTGTTGAGAAGGCGTCGCTGCGCTTTGTAGGTGAGACGGTCGATAGCATGGTATTCGTGGGGGGTCCGCCGGGCGGAACCGGCAAGGCGGAAGATCAGCGTCATCGAGTCTTGGATACGTCTGTCAAGAGGAATTTGGTTAGCACAACAGACGAATTTGGTAGGCGGATGATTGGAGTGTGCTCACCCGAGTCCCCATTTGCGCATCGGATGTCCATTCGCTATGTGTCGCTCCATTGTCAGACGGTTCTGTTGCACGATGTAGGAGTGGTCGAATGCGAGGAATGGTTCAAGTTGCGATATCATCCACGTCAGGGTGAGGTTGGCTAGATCGGCATCGGCATAGCTGCCTCCTACATCAGAATGCACGCCAGGGAACCAGCACTGTTTCATCGTCAGCGGCCATTCCTGGCCTTCTGGCTTCTCCCATATCGTTGGTTGGAATGTGCGACGCCGTTCGTCCAGGGCGAGAGCTTGGAAAGCATGCTCGATGTGCGGCTCAATCTTCGTGTCCACAAAGGCAAACTCGCTAGATTTGGGTTGCGGTAAGAATGCAACCATGGGGATTCCAAGGGCTTGGGTTATACAGTCAGCACAGGTATAAAAGCACGGCAAACGTACATACCGCCCACAGTATCCCATACGCCTATGGCTTTGACTGGTATATTTGGCCGGGTCAACTCCAGCTCAAGAAGCTTGCGACCATATTCTGGCTTGTGAACGGGTGGACGATTTTCCCATGGCTCCTTTGGATATGAGCTCTTCCAGTTGGGCTTCATTTGATGTTGCCAGTCCTGGAATATCTGGTAGAAATATATCAGGCCTTGCCGATTCAGAAGTCCGATCGCTCCGATTAGTGTAGCAATAGAACGAGCTGTGAATGCGCCACGCGAAAACCCAATCAGTATGATCTCGTCCCCAGTTTCATAGTTGTTGCAGATGAAGCTGTAGGCTTCTCGAATATGTTCAGCTAGGCCTATGCAAGAAATCAGCTCCTGATGGAAGGCAGACAGCATATCAGGTGGATTCATCTCATACCCAGACCAGTAGATCCACCCACGATTTTGTTGTATATTGTGCTTTCCGTTCCCACCCCAGACTGATAGTATATGATCTGTGGAATGACCTCCCCAGTCTCTGCGTCCCGGGCTTCCTGTTTGATGCAACGGCAGATCCTAGTGACGTTTGAAGGGATTTCGTATTCGCCGTCGCTGTCCTTCCAAGTCCCATCACAGGCGACCACAATGCGCTTGCGCGCTGCAGTCGCAGAGATGGTTTTCATTTCCTTTTTCTTCCAGTAAGGTCAAAGATCTTCACTATGGAACAGAAACAAGAGTATCAATACTTTAATGCAGAAAGGGGTCAAAATAACGGATACTGGTGATACAATAGATGGAGAAAATGTCAAGCAAATGAAGATGGGACGGTACTCCGTACAGGCCAACATATCAGTCAGTAAGTCACGCGCCGCAATCCATGGGGGCCTTGAAATGAGAAACAAAGAACAACATCGCTGCGCCGCGTGGCAGCCTGAGCTGTGCCATATGAAGGACTCATCGTGGTTGCACGAAGATGAGCTTCCCCCCTTCAGTTAAGCCTGAGTTAGGCATAGGTCAGACTTGACTCGGAGTCGATCTACTACGTAAGACGGAGGCCACACCTCATAAACCTGTGCTCTGTTGGCTGAGGTTGCAGGTATTAATTTTAGTGAGGCTTTTTTGACAAAGGAAGATTGGTGGCCTTCCTACATAGTATTCCCTTTTCGGAGGGTGGCGCAAGCACCCCTAAGCCTTGCTAGTTATCCCCCTGGCTGATGGCCTGACTGCGTCGTACTAGTCAGCGAGGGGTACATCAATTAAGTGTGGTTCGAAACCCACTGGCACTGTCCTTTTGGCGGAGTGGTTGATGTGTCCCTTTTCTGTACTATGTTGTACCACGTATAGCAAGCCATAACGACAAATTCCGTAAAGGGTTACATTTCAACCGCCAAGACGTCAAAGTAGGCTGTGAGAGCTGTGATGGATAGCGCAGTACTTAGTAGGAGTACTATTGTCTCCCATATCGTGTCCTAACTCTGACGATGGCACTTCAACTTGCTGTACGTACGTAGTACTCCGTAAGTAGGTCAGATACAGGCGCCAAGACGCTGTTAGGCATCTGTCCGCTTTAATTGCTAGCGTGAGAGATAGAGTTCACGTTCCTGCGTCCCAGCGCGTATCAAGTGTTTGGGGGAGGCCGTACGGGGTATCGGCATATTCGTGCTCCGTCCGGAGTACTCGAATCACAATGAAAAGGATGATGAGACCACTATTTTGAAACATCATACAGGAGTCATCAGGGCACCTTGTGACTGTACTAGCTCGGCCTAGTTATTGGGACGTTGCCTATGTGGTATGATGTTACGGTGCGACACAGTATGACGCTTTCTGCCTGAAATTTCGAAGGATCTTCGTCTGTGTTCGCATTGTCTTCTTACACGTGGAGCGTCCACGATCAGGATCGTATCACGTGTGACCTCTTATTCCATCCTTTGAATTGTTGCCGTGTGATCGAGTTCTCTTCTTCATTGTAAGGAATTGCTTTCATCTTCAACCTTGCCATGTATGAACCTGTTGGCGCATGTAACGCTTTGTCCAGTGAGACTTCAGACCACCAAGGCATGACCTTGAGCTGTCTGCTGTCATATTTTTGTTAATTCGTGATGCCTCTGACCGGATTGGTCAATTGCTTCAGTAGGGTTTGCTGCATGGCTAGGTTAAACAACTGACATCACACGTCTAGTAACTAGCCTGGATCAAGCAGTATCTGCGGCTCGCGAGGGCGTGCAGTCCATTGGCTTTGACCTTGCACGAGAGATGTATGTTGTGTCATGAACATGAAAGTGATCCTCTGTTCTTTGCCGACCGTTGCAACTTCATAGCTTTGAGTCTCTGCCCGTGGTGCTCAGTGCTCGGTCGATCACGTCCATCATCCTGCACAGCTCGAAATCATGCAGTTTGGGGGGCACGACCTGTATACTTAGCGGAGTGTCCAAGTACACCTTTCGGTCGGTAATCTTCTCGTCCCATAGCTGTCTATTTCGTTCGTCCCAGCTCCCAAGCGATGGTCCGCCCATCTCCTTTCCCAGTTCAAGGTCACCCTCATCAAATCTTCGAACCGGAATCACTGCAGCAGGATAGTCAAGAAGCACAAAGCTGGATGTGTAGCCAACAGCATTCCAACGATCGATTGGTGGAACAGGGTGTGGTGCGACTGGACAGATTAGTGCATCAAATTTCCGCTTCCTTGATCCGTCTTTGTCTGTTTGGTACCAGATGTCTAGCATGCGCCTCTCCAGACTCGATCTTTGAGCCTGCATATCTCGAACTTCGGCAATTGATCTTGCTGGGCTTCTCTTGAATCGCCTTTGCATCCAAGGGGCAAGAGGCTCCTTTGTTTCTTCAAGCAAGTCGGCCATGCGAGTAGCACCATTGGCAGCCATTAATCTGTTCGCAAGACCTTGGCATTTGGTCCAAGCTTGGGGAGTGGGAATATCAACGACCTCGATATTCCCAACTCGGGTCAGTTTTTGTTTCACTTCTTCGATTACTTTCAAAACAGGAGGTAGGGGCTCGCAATTTCCATCTCGTCGCATGATTCCGACCACGAAATTTCCATTCTTCCCGCACCCTTTCATTTCTCCCACACCCCAGTTGCCAGGCACACAGTCCTCTGCCCACATCTCCGCTCTAGGCACTACCTCCTTCAGAAAGGTATCCAGGTCTTGCACAGACCTCGCAATCGGCCCTGTCACAGCTTCCATCGCCGCTCTCCCATCTCCGTACAAGCTCCCAACCTCCTGCCCACCGTGCGGTACGCGTCCCACACTCGGCTTGAAACCGTAGATTCCATTACACATAGCCGGGATTCTGATACTTCCACCAATATCCGTTCCAACGCCGATCATGGAGCCTTTCATGGCGACAAGCACACCCTCACCTCCCGAACTGCCGCCAGCAGTGACAAGCCGATTTATCGGGTTCATGGTGCGTCCAAAGACGTTGTTATTGCTATCCAGCGCCGCAAGTGTCTGCGGGACGTTCGTCTTGGCGATGATCACACAACCTAGGCTAAGCAGCAGGTCCACGAGCGGTGAGTTTGACTTTGCCGGCTTGAAGCACAATGCCGCAATGCCAATAGAAGAGTCCACGCCCATAATATTAAAGCTGTCCTTCATAGATATAGGCAATCCATGGAGCGGGCCAAACGGCTTGCCGTACTCCGCCAGGTGCTTGTCCAGGGATTCAGCTCGTTGGAGAGCAGAAGGGAAGAGCAATTCAGTAAGGCAATTGGTCAACTGCTGGGCTATGGCGGCACGTTTGCAGAATGCAGCGGTTACTTCTTTTGCCGTAAGATGATTGGAAGTAATTGCACTGATCAAGCTCCGAGCGCTGTACCGCGAGGTTATCGTGAGGTCTTTGGCTGTAAGGATACCGCATTGGTCTGGGACAGATAGCACGTTTTCCGGTTCTCTATTTTCTTTGGGCAGATGCTTCTGGTCGAGCTTCCAGACTGCTGGGATGGCGGTATCGCGTTCTGCGCGCTTTCGGCGAGCAATCCCTTTCCACGGAGCGTCTACTTCGCAAGAGGACATTGTACGGTAGGTTGCTTGAAGCAGGACGAATTTAGGATTGAGAGTTGAAAAGGGCGTCGACGCCAAGCTTGAATATTTATTCCTCACACTGCTCGCAAGTGCTCTTGCGACCTCGGCTCATGAAATTGCCAGATTGGGAAGGTATTAGATCTCATGCTATGGACAGAAACTCAGCAATATTACAGCGATTTAACCCGGCCGACTTTACTCTGACATGCACAGCGAGCCTTATTGCCCGGTGTACTAATAATAGAAATACCAGACCCAAAAGCTAAAAAGAAGATGCGGACCTTCTTTGAAGAATATAAGCACATGATTAGGCAGGAAATCGGTTGCCCAAATTTTTCAATCTGACCTTACTACTCCGTAGACGCTAAGCGACGGCACCTTAGAAACCTCGTTCATGTTGGCGTTATAGTAGTATCACCTGCATCGCTACATCTTGTAGCCAGGTACCACGGTGAGATCTTATACGGACAGCCGGGCCAACCGCTTTTGAAGGCTATAGTATATGCTGGCTGAAAGTGAGCATTTTGATCAGAACAAGTTGTCCAAGGTACTGGCTGATCCAGCAAATTTGGCACAGGTCTTGCAGAACTTTTGATCCAAAAAGAACAAAATAAGAACATCACCAAATGAGCACAATAATAGCACCTTTCATGCAGAATAACGATCTGGCGTGAAGTCAGGCACGTTCTCCCTCAGTACAAAATAACTTTTGCTTTTGGCACATCAATGTGCCACTTATCCAGTCCCGTTCGGGGTCTCATTTTCCTTGCCACTCGCCGTTGCTGACGCTGCTGACGCCGCTGCCTCAGCCTTCTCCTCTAGCCTTTGGATATCGACCTTTTGCTGCTCAATACCTTCTCGAAAAGCCGCCTTTGTCGCCTTGGGACTCGAATGCGGACTCGACGTGCTTAGCTTCTCTAGAGCTTCCACCTCGGATGGTGAGAATGTGTCTTTCCGCTTGGGGCGGAAGGGGACTGGTGTGCTGGTACGGGAGGTGAGGAACTACAAGACCAGAGATGAGTTAGATGATGATACCTTATGGTGGACCACGCGTTATTCAACAGAGGGTTCATGTAGTGGGCTAGGCTTACCGAGCTCGCTGCACTAAGCAAGGCGATCAAACTCGCTTGGACCACGTCCTCATGAATACCTACACCCCAGACTTTGATGCTAGGGCTTCCACTCGCCATGCATTCGATGTACGTGGCGGCCTTGACGTCTCGTCCTCCTCCAATGGCGTGTTCTTTATAGTCTGCGACGTCCAAGTCGATGCCAAGAGAATGTAGTGCGTTGGCTAAAGACGAGATTGCGCCATTTCCTACGCCAACAATAGGATGCTGTGCTCCATCTATAGCGATGATGCCAGCAAATTGTCGTTTTGAGGTTGATGTGCTTGTTGCTGGTACAGTTTGGACTTGGGGACTTGCTCCTGGTGTACCACGTTCGCCTGGTCCCGAGCTTCGAACAGCGGTGATGTTATAGTCGATCAGAGTAAACCTTGGATTCCTCTTGAGATGGTAGGCGTCCTCGAACAGAGCCTGGATCTCTCTTGGCAGCAGTTCCCGTCCCTTGCGGTCTGCCTCTTTTTGCACAATCTTGCTGAATGCTATTTGGAGACCCCGCGGCAAGTCAAGTTCAAGGGCCCGTTGAATGATCCACGCCACACCGCCCTTCCCACTTTGGGAGTTGACTCTGATTATGGCCTCGTAGTTTCTGCCAATGTCCTGTGGGTCTAACGGGAGGTATGGCATCTGCCATGGATCATCCGGCTTTGCACCCGAGGCTTTGCGGGCATTGAATCCTTTCTTAATAGCATCTTGGTGGCTGCCAGAGAAAGCACATACAACCAATTGTCCGCCATATGGCCACCTTTCGTTGACCGGAATCTTGGTGCTTTCCTCACAGACTCGTATGACCGAATTGATGTCACTAAAATCAATGTTGGGCCAGATGCCCTGTGTGTACAGATTCAGAGCCAGGGTCACTAGGTCAACGTTCCCAGTTCTTTCTCCATTACCGAACAGTGTTCCTTCCACTCGCTCTGCTCCGGCCATTTGTGCCAATTCTGCTGCCGCGATAGCACACCCGCGGTCATTGTGAGGGTGAACTGAGACGCAATATTTCTTTCGTTCGCTCACATGCGTACAGAAGTACTCGATTTGATCTGCGTATACGTTCGGTGTCGCCAGCTCAACCGTAGCTGGGAGGTTAAAAATTAGGGGAGCTTCTTCTGTCGGTTCCCAAGCAGCCTTGACGGCTTCACATATTTTCACCACAAATTCGGGAGAAGTGTCAGAAAACGTTTCAGGTGAGAACTCATACAGCCACTCAGTCTGAGCGTAGGGTGTATCCTTCGGCGCGTCCTTCGTCAGGCTTCGTGCAAGTTCCGTACACTTCACTGCAAGCGCAATGCTCTCCTCTTCCGACATGCCAAAAACTATTCTTCGGAAGCATTCGCTCGTTGCAAGGTATAAATGCAAAATAGCTTTTTTGGCACCTTCCAAGGATTCCACTGTCCTTCGTATGAAGTCTTCTCGACAAGGAGATAAAACTTGCAGGTAGACATCATCCGGAACAGCACCTGGCGTCTCGAGCAAAGATCTCGTGAAGTCGAAGTCGGTTTGCGAAGCTGATGGAAAGGATATTTCGATTTCTTTATAACCCAGCCCAACGAGCATCTTGAAGAAGCGCGTCTTTTGCTCACCGTCCTGGTAGAGCAACAAATCAGCCTCATGCTCAGTCCTATGCTATTTGTCTCGTACCATGGGATCTGCCAAGCTCTGGTTTCCATCTCTTAAGTCGGTTGCAAGCCACCTTGGTGGTTTGTCGTTCGTTCTGGAGGGCCATTGCCTGTTTGGCAGGTCCAACGGCTTAAACTGTTTGTACTTCCTCCACGGCTCACGTAACCTGTCGATTTCTGGTCAGCTCTAGACTAGAAAGCTAACTGTTATAGGGAAGACAAACATAGGCATTTCCGCGATAAAAAAATGTAGTATGGCACTCTCGGTTATTGACAGACGCAGAAAACAGACAGCAAAAGCTGAAGCACACGGGCGGCTTTCGGATGCGTGAGATAAAACGTGGGATGCTACCCTAACCAATTGAAAGCTTTGGTGAATTGAAGGGCGTGAAAAAAGAGGATGGTGCCCAAAGAGACTCAGACCCCGCAGACGTAGGTCAAAGGGCGGGGATGACCCTTGCGGCTGCTGAAACAGCGCCACGTATTTAGGGGATACATGACTAATTGTTAGGAGCGAGCTTATAACTTTTTAGCTCAAAGTATTCCGGGAACTAAGGCAAAAAGATCTGGCTTCTTCAAAGGCCGTGTCTCTGTAACTAACAAAGTCTTGAACTGACTCCCCCCGGAGTCGGACCAGGGCACTGATACCATGATCGGGAAGGTCCGCAGCTTTGGTCACAAGTGTGTAAGATGAAGCTTCATCCATTGCATCTGTGGTCGTTCATTCTGGGTGGGTTTGCGCTTTCACACCATCATTAGGGCATATGCTCATATTGACTTTGTCTAGCCGTTCTCTCCTTTTCGCGAATAATACAAGCTTTCGGTGCAGAGCAACATGAAGTGCCTGATATTCGATGGCAGCCCCGAGCAGAGCCACCTAGTCACGGTACTGTCCCTTCAAGAGCACAGCGTGACGAGTTTGAGGACTTGGGAGGTGGGTTTCGGTTTGAAGAATGCTAGGATTCTCAGCTAATGATGCTGGAGGACACGACGCAGTTCACGCAATATGGCACCACTTACAAGAAATCGAGGATGCACGGAGGGACACCTCCAGCTCATACCAGCCACGGGGACTAATAGGAAGTGCATGGGACTACGCCAAGATTGTTTTTCGACTTTTATTCATGAACAGCCCCTCTAGAGATCATGCCTTGTCCGATAGACAACCTTCAGCGGTAAGCGGTGACTTGGCTCGAAGCATCAACATCCTTAAGCATGCCGCCGCGCTCGACGACTCAGACGCGATATTTCTGCTGGCTGAAATGAGCTTCTACGGAAATTTCTCTCATCCACGAGACTATCCGCAGGCCTTCGACTACTACTATAAACTTGCATCTTCAACCGGCAACAATACAGCTCAATACATGCTAGGGTTCATGCACGCAACTGGCGTTGGTGGAGCGGTAAAGCGTGACCAAGCCCAAGCCTTGCTTTATCATACTTTCGCAGCCGAGCAGGGAAACATCCGATCCGAGATGACAGTTGGTTATCGCCACCATTCAGGCATTGGTACAGCAAGGAATTGCGACAAGGCCGCTCATTTTTACAAGAAAGTTGCAGACAAGGCAATGGCATACTGGAGGTCAGGACCGCCAGGTGGTCGAAACCTGGTAAAGGAAGCCTATCGCTGGGCTGATGAGGCTGGTGGCGTCTATGGTGAAGGTGCTAGCGTGTCTAGTTCTGGACTCAATGCCAATCGAGATAGAAGCAGTCATGCCAGCACGGATGATATCATGGAATACCTCGACATGATGGCAAGGAAAGGGGATTTGAAAGCAACCTTCAGTCTGGCAAAGATGTACTACGAGAACAGGAACTCGAGACACAACGTCAGAAAAGCACAACGACTCTTCATCAAGATCACCAAGCAGTATTGGGATAAGCAGGGCAAAATCATTTCTAGCGGACCAAAAGGAATTGATAGGATTGCTGCAAAAGCCGCTGCATATATTGGCCGGATGTATCTCCGTGGCGAAGGTTGGGAGCAGAATTATGAAAAAGCTGCTACCTGGTTCCGACGAGGCATTGCCAACGGAGACCCTCTGTGTCAGTACTTGATGGGGGTTATGTATCGTGATGGTCTCGGTGTTCCAAAGGACTCACTCAAGGCTGCCTCGTTCTTCAGAGTTGCAGCCGATGAAGATATTGCAGCGGCACAGTCGAACCTCGGCATACTATTCCTTGACCAAGGAGAGCTGGAGACTGCTGGCCAATATTTTGAGCTTGCAGTGCGTCATGGTCATTTAGAAGCATTCTACTATCTCGCCGAGCTGGCCAATAAAGGTATCGGTCGAGAAAGACACTGTGGCATGGCAACAACATATTACAAGATTGTGGCTGAAAGTGTCGAAGAGATTCACTCTTCCCTTGGTGAAGCAAATCAAGCATTCGAGAGAGGAGACTTGGAGACTGCTCTGGTAGCATCGATGATGGCAGCAGAGCAGGGCTCCGAGGCAGCGCAGGCCAACGCAGCTTATTTGACTGACGTGCAAACTTCAGTGCTCAACGTACCAACCATATCCATCTTTAGTTCCACACTAAATCGACCAGCTTCAGCTGTTCGGGATGCCGCACTTGCACTCATCTACTGGACCCGTTCTGCCAAGCAAGCAAATATCGACTCACTGTTAAAAGCGGGTGATTACTATCTCTCAGGCTTCGGAACTTCAAATCCAGATCTCGAAAAGGCAAGTACATGTTATCATACTGCCGCAGAGATACACCATTCCGCCCAGGCACTCTGGAATTTTGGTTGGATGCATGAAAACGGCTTGGCCGTTGAGCAAGATTTTCACATGGCGAAACGATATTATGACTTGGCTCTAGAGACCAACTCAGAAGCCTATCTGCCCGTCAAGCTGGCCTTAATCAAGCTCCGTGCACGAAGCTTCTGGAATACCCTCACAGGAGGAAAGGTCAACAGCATCCAAGCCGAGCCGGCAGAAACCAAGAAATCTCGCACGTTATCCGAGTGGGTCGCGCACTTTCTGGAGTATGCGGATGAGGAGTTAGAGGAAGGAGCTGAAGGTACCAGACTGGATGATTTGGAGCTCGAATCAGCCGCCTTTGGTAACGACGCCATGCCAGGAGGCGACGAATCGTATTATGAGGAAGTTGATGACGGGTTGCTGGAAACACTCATCATTATCGGTATCGCCGCTACCCTCGCATTTTTGGTGTACTACCGTCAACAGCGCCAATTGCAGCAGAGAAGAGCGGTACAGGGTGGGAGGATTGCACAGAATGTTCCTGGTGCTGTGGCTGCTGCGGCGGCTGCTCCGGGCCAGGCGGCTGTACCGCTGCCTACAGGTGCACCACAATCACAGCAGCAAGAGCAAGAGCAGCAGCAGCAGCAAGGTGTGATGGAAGGAGATGATGGTGGCTTCTTCCCAAACCCTGGGGATCCAGATTATGCTGCTTGGGCTGCTGGGGGTGTCGGTCACTAGGGTTGGTGATAGGCAGCAATCCTGAATATGATGTCTCTTACCCTTCAAATTTATTCTCACTGAATATGCCATTCTGCTTGTAATTGTGAAGTAGTTTGGGGGCTAAAAGGGTGCCTGAACCAGAGGGAGCAACATAGAGCTATTTCTGTTGTTAGCCCTTAGTTAGAAATAATTCCCCGTACCTTGTATTACAATATTAGGCAGGAGTATTGCTCACCAAGAGTGATCAGGTATCTTTGGTGCAGAAGTAGTCTTCAGAAGAAACTGACCAGATGAAGGATGTCAGTGGTGTCTCTTAGGTTTCAACAATAATTGCCATCATTCGAAATGCCCGATCATTCCGACTGCCAGTATCCCCAAGAGAGACCGTTCATGTCAACACTCGCCTTGTTAAGGAGCCGGGTACAGCAAGGGTGTCAGAACTGTAGACTGATCTGGCAGGGCATTGAAGAATTCGCTGATGACAAAGTCCGCGAGGATGGAAAACTGTGCGATGACAATGCGGAAGTCTGGGTCCGCCAGAAGGTAGTTAATGTCACATGGACTCAGGTCGACTCGTCACCGTTGCGCCTGGAGTTTTTCACCGACTCCAACGAAGGTATATCCCATCTGAGACTGTTGAGGTCTGGTTCAGGTCGCTCATTCATTTGCTAACATTGGCAGGTGTGTTCCCCGCCTGGTGCGACCTACAACCGTTACCAATAGTATCAGAACCTGCTTCAAAAGCATGCTTCGATACCATAAGACGGTGGATTGATGAGTGCTCTACAGAACACGCTCGTTGCCACTCTGATGCTTCCGGTCCACTTCCCCATCGTGTCATTGACGTCCGGGGCGTCTCCGGTACTAGTGATGTCTTTCTTTATGAGAGTCATCATGAAGCAGCTAGATATATTGCTTTGAGCCACTGCTGGGGCCGGCAGCCGCCTTTAACAACAACGAAGGCCACTTTGTTGGAGAGAAAATTTGCTATTCGATGGACAACTTTACCCCAAACTTTCCAGGACGCTATTTCCATTACTCGAGAATTAGGTGTACAGTATCTATGGATTGATTCTTTGTGCATCCTTCAAGATGATGAAGGTGATTGGGTAACCGAGTCCGCGCAGATGGATCAGGTTTACAAGAATTCGTGGATTACGATTTCGGCGGCCGGAGGAGCCCACGCAAACCACGGCTGTTTTCGAAGAGTGTCTAGGAGAGAAATCCTAGTGTTGAAAGTCCGCAACCAAAAAAATGACGTCCTGTCTTCTATTTTGATTCGAAAGCAAATTCTGGTCGATGCAATGTACGGGACTACCGGCACGGACTTTGTTCCCACCGTTTCAATATTTACACGGGCGTGGACCTTTCAAGAGCGTCTGCTTTCAAGGAGAGTGCTTCATTTTATGCCGGACAAGATGTTCTGGGAGTGCTATTCTCAAGAGCTCTGCGAGTGTGGACATGCAGCCGCTCGGTTTAATTCATATTTAGGGATGCCACCCGACCTCGTCAAATTTTTGAAGCGAGACCACATCCGCGCTGTTGCAAATGATCCTGAACTGGACTTCACGGATATCATGGCCCAATGGTACACACTTGTGTCTCAGTATGTGCAGCGAACGCTGACATTTGAGACCGATAAACTGCCAGCTTTTTCCGGGGTAGCAAAACAATTTCAAGAAAAGAACAAACTAGGTACTTATTTGGCTGGTCTCTGGTCTGTAGACCTTCTCAAGGCGCTCCTCTGGTATCGTTCGGTTAAGGGGACGTGGAAATACTTACCCCATCTGTCTGAATCCCTTGTTCCATCATGGTCGTGGGCCTCAATCAGCGGAGCTTGGGAGCATGATCAGATAATGGGCGACCTCGCGACAGAGACTGCTCAGGTCATTGATTTCAGCTGTACACTGGCCAGCGAAGACCCAACGGGTGCCGTATTGGGCGGGTACATCATATTGAGCGGCTATTTAGCCTCAGCGTTGCTTAGATTTCGAGAAGGAGATCCTAGCATCGGTGCCAGGGAGAGATTTCTTGTTCAAGATGCACTAATCGTACAGGGCGACTCTGTGCGTCCCTTCGACGCAGACTACCTTTTAGAGGAAACTTCGCCCTCCTTGGCTTCTGGACAAGCCGTATATTTGCTTCAGATCGCGGTCGAGAACAATCAGGATGGTGTAGGACCAAATTATTTTGCACTCGTCCTTAACAGGATACCGAATTCACCGATGGTGTATCAGAGGATTGGCCTATGTTCTATTCCTGATATATGGTTCGGCGAAGCTCTCAGAAATGAGATCACAATTGTATGAGGGACGACGAGTCCGGACGACAGAGATGTGCAGATCGGATATGATGGGAAGGCTGAAGGCGAAGGCGAACTGGGAAGGATAAGAAAGATAATTATGTAAAAGCTAAAAAAGTGAGAAGAATGGATAAAATCTGTGTGGAGTTTTGGAACCAGACGTACCCTCGTCTCTATCCTCCTCCTCCTCCTTTTTCACCATCCATCAAAAGGAAACTAAATAAGACTTACCAAGACTTAACTCAATAACCATTTCTACTGACCATAATGTAACTACAGCATCATCCGCATCAAAACCGACCTGTATCTTCAATCAGTTTAAAACAAGAAGAAGAAGAAGAAGAAGAAGGCATCATCAAGGGAAAGGTCGGGTTTGTTGAAAACCAGATTGTGAAAGAATTAAGGCAAGGTCACTGCCTGAAAATCAATAAATGTCGTCCCTTCCTGTCTCTTCGCAACCTGAAGCAGTAGAATCATGCTCTCTCCTGTTATCTGCAGTATTATATAGTATTCTGCTTATTATTATGAAAGTACTCTGTAGTTTAGGGCGTGATAAGGACCCTAAACCCAGAGGGAATAATACAAGTTATTTTCTATTATTAGCCCTTAGTAGAAATAATTCCCTATACCTCGTACTACAGTATCAGGCAGGAGTATTAGTCATCAAGGTTGATCTAGTATCTTCTGTGTAGAAGTAGTCTTCAGAAGAAGCTGACCAGATGAAGGATGCTCAGTGGTGACCTCTTCACCGCTTTGGAGTTGGGTATGACAGAAAGATGTGCTCATGTTAATCAAGGTCAGCGGAAAGTATCCTTTTCTGGGCATCAGATACCAAGTTACTGCCCACAATTTAAAGCTTTCTGGTCGAAAAATGGGCCAATCTTACGCCATAATGGTGGATAGCCTCTCGTGGCTCACTGAGCGCGTTGAACATGTTGAATAACCCCTTCTCAGGGGATACGTCATGCGTACAGGGCTGACAGGGGTATCTGTATGAGGGTCGTTAATAACAATTTTACTATTTAGGGCCGCGCTTACATTCATTATGCCCTCCTATCGTAGTACTTCTGCCTCATACCTCAGTACACGTAGTATCGTGATTGGCTGGATACCCAACCAATTAGCATGCTCATTCGATGAGCAAATCTCTCTTGTAGCCCATCCTCCGCATGTGGCTTGCACTAGGGCAAGGCGGAAGTCAGGACTCCTGCCAAGATGCCCTATGCTACTTCGCATAACCAAATTTCTTCGATCACATCGACGTATTCAGGACTGGGGATTTTGGGGTCCAGAATGATACGCGACCCTATCCCCTATATACATCCGCGACTCGTGTGTAATTGAATCGCCTTCGAAACATGTTATTCCGTCAAAGATTTTGCCCGTCCAAAGGATAGGATGTTTCTGTACCCGCGCCTACTCTTGATCGTGTGGCTTGTTACTCGCACCGTTTGTGGTGCTGTGCACGTTGAGCTCAATGATGGCCAGATTCTGGCTGTTGATGATGAGCAGAATGTAACTCCGACTGTTGACAGTGATCCGGGTGATCCAGTCTTTGGTGGCCTCACCTTACGAGACCTTTTCGGCCGCCAGTACTGTTCCGCCCCTGGCCAAAATGTCATCTGTGGATATGGATGCTGCCCGAATAACAATTACTGTTGTGGAGGTTCCAGCTGTATTGACACCACATCCAGGATATGCTGCAGGAACGGGCGGCAATGTTATAAGGGTGGCGATTGTTGCTCTGATGGGAATTGTGTAAGCAATCTTCGCCGTTGTTTGCTAATAAAGGGGCTGGTAAAGAGCTGCACCAATTCAAATGCTGATCTCATCATGAACAGTGTGATCCCGGCAATTATTGTGTGAGAGACCTCGATACAGGTCGAGTTGGGTGCCTCCCCTACGGCGGAGGTGGCTCTACCAGCATTCAGGCATCCTTGACGACAACATTCACCAGCACTACCCAACCGCCTGCTTCCTCCTTTACTTGCAATGAGTAAGCAATCCAACCAAGGGCCTCCATTTGTCTACTGCTCTAACCTCCAATCACAGTGCGGGCTACCGCCCATGCCCTGACGAGCGCTTCTGCTGCCCATCAACCGCCTACTGTTACTACAACACACAGAACGAACCCAGATGCTATCGAAACAGCTACTATACCTTCTACTATTCCTATTCCTGGTCCTTTTCCTACGGCATCCGCTGGTTCACCACAACCACCACTTACTACCTGAACGGTGCCACAGTCCCCGCCATCGCCACACCGCCAGTTCCAACCACACCTCCTCCTGAAGCTGAAATCAGCGCTGCTGTGTCAGCTCCATCAACAACCCCGTTGAGCCTCACATCTGCTGAGTCGCTCTTATCGAGTTCTGATTCTCCAGGGTCGGCGCTTCCTGCTGGCGTTGTCGAAGAATCGCAAGATTCCACGCCTTTCACTTCCAGAACGTCATCGTCTTCTTCGGCCACTGCAAGCAGAACATCCTCTGCTCTCACATATGGAGGAGCCAGCAGCAAGGCACACAAGCTATTGATGGCAGGGTGGATGACCTGGGCTTGGATGGCGCTTGTTTGTGGAGTTTTCTTTATGGTATGATGTGAATCTAAGCATGGAATTTAGTACTTGATATATATGGCTGAGGGTATGGATATTGGCTTAACTACGTTCTTGGGATGATGCACCAAGAGCAGGAACGAATGGAAGGACAACCGATCTGAAAGGAGTATTGATTTGGTTTTCTGTGCCCTTGACGGGAAAATATGTACTTGAAATTTCGTCATAATCCAGCATTTGAAAATCCTAGTATTCTCTCACGAGTAAACACATGGAGGACATCAGTCCATCCGCTTTTTATATTGATTCATTGGTCAATGACCTCAAGGACTCACATGCAATGTTTTTTTTTTTTTTTTCAAGAAAGAAGATATCTCTAGTAATCAGAACGTGAGCATGCAAAGGGTGCCAGTTAAGCCAACCAAGGATTGTTTGTACACACTACCGGATATTCCTCATGTGTCCGAAACTTTTGTAAAACAAAACTTCCAACAACAGCAGGGACGAGGAAGGCACCAGGCAAGCATACAAACGACTCTTTGTATTTTGAAAAAAAAAATTAAGAAAATTCGCAGAACCACAGCTAAGTACTACTTCATAGGGGGGAGGGGCATTCGTAGATCAACAGGTCGCAGAAGGGTGGTTAACTCGGTCACGAGAAAAGATGAAAGATCCATTTCAAGTGTTGCATGATCCTCCGGAGTTACAAACAAAGAGAGTTAGCCAGGAGGGGGTGGGGAGTGGGGGCGGTATCTTCCGGCATTTGCTGGACGCTACTCAATCTTTCGAAGATTCCCCGTCCCGTATACGGCGGACTGTTATTGGGTTAACGACACATCAAAATTTTGAAATTGAAAATCAGTTTTGAGGTTGTAACATGACCACACAATCATGACCAAAGAGCCAAATGGCATTTGTATCATGGAATTACTACTGTCAAAGTGTCATAGTAGCTTTTTAGAGTGAATAGTAATAGTCTATCTGTACCTGGACCGGTGCGTTAGGGTCTTGAGGTTGGTTGTGTACACAGAATGCGCATACAGAATCCGCAGAATCCGCAACAGAATGTGCAGAATGTGCAGAATTCGTATAGAATCCACTTAATACGCAGAATTCACAGAATGTGCAGAATCTATAGCAGAATACACAGAATCAGCAGAATCCGCAGAATGCGCACACAAATCCACAGAATCCACACAATACACAGAATCCGTAGAATCTGTAGAATTCGCACAGAATCCACTTAATACATAGAATGCGCTGGATGCGCTGAATACGCTGAATCTGTAAAATCCACGGAATCCGTATACAGAATACATAGAATCCACAGAATGCACAGAATGCGCGGAATACGCAGATTTCATTAAAAGGCTAGTCTTTTATGGCACTTTATTGTTAGAAGTAGTAGCAAACAGCGTACGGAGGTGTCAATTCACTTGATTGAGTTACTCCTATCAAGAGGAGCATTTGCTCATACTAATAGCTATAGAAGCGCATTACTGTAACAGCTCAGAAACAGCATTTGGCGTTTAATTCGTATAGCAATGCTCACTGCCATAAATAACAGGGCGTAACAGTTACAAGAGCGTTTCGCGCGTTTTGCATGCGGGGACCCTTGTACCATCATGCTAATACGTAACAGATACGTATCATATACGCAGGGATTCTGACATTTATAACTGTAATACATAAGAGAAGTGCCAGTAGCCGTGGTCAACGATTGGTCCCCCTAGGGGGTCCCCACCCCCGGCAGGGGTATACCCCTGCCTAGGGCCACTCGCCTCGCATACCAGCGTAACGAGCATTTTTCTACGCGTTCGAACGCGTTGTAGCATTTTGTGTATATCTCCATCAAAACATGGCTGATTTGAATGAGGCTTTGGATATAGCAGCTCACAGAGCTGCTGATGAGATATTTCGACTTCGAAGCCGCGGAGAGAGAGTGAACGTTGCAGCAACTGCTCGCGAATATGGGGTAGATCGAATGAGAGTCGTACGACGAATGAAGGGCGTAGGGCCTCGAACAAGTCGAATTCCTCCGAATCGCAAGCTAAATGCTGTACAAGAAGCAGCTCTTTTGCTGTATATCCAGAATTTGGATGATATAGGCCAATCCCTACGTCTAGATCAGCTTCGCAGTACAGCAAACTCGATTCTTAAGCAAAATCATACCAGAGAAGATCCATCACCTATTGTAGGCGATCACTAGGCTCAACGCTTTCTTGAACGTTATCCTGCGCTTCGTAGGATGAAACAGAAGCCTTTAGAGCTTGAGAGAAAGCTTGCTCATGATCTAAGGGTATTTTCGAACTGGTTTGAGCGTTTTCAACAGCTTCGTACAAAATACGGAGTTGTAAATGAGGATATCTGGAACTTTGATAAGACTAGATTTCGAATCGGTATGAGCAAGAGTCAGTGGATAGTGACCTTTTCGACTTCTAAAAGGTCCTATC